CCAAAAACATCTGTTAACTTGGCTAGGTCATGATTCCCAGTATTGTATGATTGTCTACCATTTCATAATCTGAGGTGATTTCCCTATGTGTTGTAAATTCTATCACTATGATGTAATGAGATGGATTAGTGGCAGTTATACTGATGAAATCTACTAGATAGTGTCTTAAGCCAATCTCTTTTGAGATATAAAAGGGAAAAGCCAGTAGAGATGTGGGGACCTTGTACCACCAAGAAAGCAGTGCCGGGAGCAAAGTGTGTCCTTTGGACCTGAGGTTCCTGCACTGAGATGCTTCCAGACCAAGGGAAGGCTGATGACAAGGACCTTCCTCCAGAGCCAACAGAGAGAAAGGCTTCCCCTGGAGCTGATGCCCTGAATTTGGACTTGTAGCCTACTAGACTATAAGAGAATAAATTTCTCTTTGTTGAAGCCATCCACTTGTGGTATTTCTGTTATAGCAGCACTAGATAACTAAGACAATGTGTAAGTCTTGGGTCTCTGGAGGCCAGTGTGAGTTTCTAGTGCAGGGTCAAAGGCCCTCAGGGTTTATGGCTGCCCAGGACAGTTCAGGAGATACCTGGAAAATAATGTGATTGTTGGACTTTAGAGTACAAAAATAAGGTTCCTTCATCATTCTCCATGAACTGGTGATGAGGCAAAGCTAAGTTTGCCCAGGCCTGTAACAAAAGGAGAAAAACATGGCCAAATTAAATTAGTACAACTCAAATAGTTGATTTAAAAGCATCTCCTTTATTCAGAATCTATGTTCTTCCCATATTTTGGTATTAAAATGTCTTTGTATGAAGTCACAGTGGTTAAGAAAAGGTAGGTTAAACAGGGTCCTTATTTGTTCAAATAAGTGGCAAAACTATCTATATGGGGAAAAAATGAAATTAGACGCCAGCTTTACACTACTCTAAAAAACAGGTAAATAAAGTCCTAAATGTGAAAGGCAAAAACTAAAAAACCTTTAGAGAACATCCTTATGATCTGGAGGTAGAGAAGGGTTTAAAATAAGACACAAGAAACTCTAATCATAACGGGAAAGACTGACCAATTGACTACATTGTTGCCGTCGACTCCTTGTACAACAGAATGAAACACTGCTAGGTCCTGTGCCATCCTCATAATCATTGCTATGTTTGAGCCCACTACTGCAGCCACTGTGTCAATCCATCTCCTGGAGGGTCTTCCTCTTTTCTATTGACCACATTAGGAACTCTATTCATCAAGACACCATAAAGAATAAAAATAAGCTACAGAATATCTGCAACACACATAACCTGATAAAGAAATAGTATCCAGAATACACACACACACACACACACACACACACACAAACCCACATAAACAAGATATTGACAGACAACCTAACAGAAAAATAGGTAAAAGCTTGAATAGGCATTTCACAAAAGTGGAAATCCAAATGGCTAATAAAGAAATGAAAAAGTACTCCATCTTATTAGTACTCAGGGTTATGCAAATTAAAACCACAACGATACCATTTCATAGCCACCAGATGGGCAAGATGTTAGTACCAAGTGTTGGAGACAACGTGAAGCAGTGGGAATTCTCACATGCTGCTGGTGGGAGTGTAAAATGGTAGCCTCACCTTGGAAACAAATTAACCAAAAAGGCTGAAGACCTGCATATGCTTACTGCCCACAGCTCCACTCCCACATTTATGTCAGAGCAGCACTGCTGTCACATTAGCCCCCAACCAGAAGCAACCCAATGTCCACCTACAACAGACTGCATAAACTGGTATAGCCATACAAGGGGAAAACATTACATAGCAACGAAAGTGCATGAGCTCCTAAAAAACAAAACTGAGCAGAAAAAGACATAAAAAGAACACAGATGCTGTGATTCCATTTACATAGGCTGAAAATCAGGCAAAAAGCCCCAGACCAAAACCAAACTATATTGTTTGGGATACATACGTAGGAAATAGGAGGTAAATTATGAAGAAATGATGATCGCAAAAGTCAGAATACCAGATATGTCTGGGAGAGGGAAGAGGCTCTGATCTGGGAGAGGCTCAGGGGGCAAGGCTTTTTAGGTGCTCACAACATCCTCTTTCTTAATCCATGATCACGTTCTGGGTGACTAGACCTTAGCACTCAACTGGAGTGGGCTGTCAGTCACCTGGCCTAAAAGTCGGCTGGGGACTTGCGGATGGTGAAGTTGGACAGATCAGTCCTGCTGCAAGTGTGGTTCCCGACCCCGTGCACATCATGCCAGCTTGGGCAGACATTAAGTCCTTTTCCACAAAGGGTTGTTCCTTGGAAAGACCTGGCTCCATAACCACTCTCCTTCCAGATGTCACCAGATTTAATTTTTGCAACTTCGATCCCGTCAGCATGAAGAGCAGGCAGCTCTTACCTGGGAAGTAAAGCTTCGCCATGACATTACCCCAGCAGAGCCTGAAGCTGAGTTGCAGCAGGCCACCAGGGAAGGGAAGGCGATGTCGCGGGTGCCGAGTTCTACTGCCCTCAGTCATCTCTGCAGCTGCAGGCTGTGACAGTCCATGTTAAGAACACTGGTAACGTACACTTAACCTGCACCATCACCCAACTAAGCATAAATTCCAAGGGGTAAAGAAGTTAGTTTTCGTCTTCTGCGAAGCACGTTACAAAGCCACTTGTTTTGTGTGTTTTTTAAAAAATTGTGGTAAAATATCACAAAAAAATTGCTGTTTCAGTCATTCTGAAGTGTGCAATTCAGTCACATTAATCACATTTGCCATGTTGTGCAACCGTCACTATTTCCAAAAAAATTTTTTTATCACCCTAAACATAAACCCAGTATACCTTAAACAGTAACTCTCTATTCCCCCCTCCCTCAGTAATCGATAATAAACTTTGGTCTCTATACATGTGCCTTATTCTATTTCATGTAAGTGAGATCATACAATATTTGTCTTTTGGTGTCTGACTTATTTCACTCAGCATAATGTTTTCAAGGTTCATCCATATTGTAGCATGTATCAGAATGCCATTTCTATTTATGGTTGATTAACACCCCACTGTATGTATGTATGGAGCCCTGGAGGCACACTGGTTAAGAGCTCAACTGCTAACCAAAAGGGTTGCTATGAGTCGGAATCAAGCTGACTGCAACGGATTTGGTTTTGGTTTTTTTTGGTATGTATGTATCCCACTGTAGGTACATACATTTTGTTTATCCATTCATCTGTTGAGGCACTTGTGTTGCTTCCACCTTCTGTCTACTGTAAATAATGCTGTAATTAACACTGGTGTACAAGTACCTGTTTGAGTCCCTGCTTTCAAGCCTCTCTGGTATATATTTAGGAGTGGAACTGCTGGGTCATATGGTAATTCTACCTTTAATTTTTTGAGGAACCGCCAAACTATTTTCCACAATGGCTATACCATTTTACATTCCCAGCAATGGAGGAGGGTTCCAACAAAGCCACTGTTTTATAGAACAACAACAACAAAAAAAGGGGTAATTAGTTTTCAGGGAACCACGGTACATGCAAATATCTATGAAAATGTGCTAGAAGTCTTCACTAGAAGTATCAATGGCTATTTTGAAGCTTACCAGTTGTTATACAAATGAGCCAAAGATGACCTTCCTGTATTACCCCCAGGTTGCCTACTTCCTTATAGAAAGCTGAGGCCTGCTAGCCCCCAAAAAGCCCACCAGTACCATACTCAAATTTGTACACATTCAATTGTTTTAAACAGATTATTTAGTCACTTACAGCCTGCCTGCTTTATATACTTCGCCCCATCCCCCACCCCCACCCCGTGAAACTGCACCCAACATCTGCTGGCCACAGATAAGATAAAACCTGTAGTTGTCCTTTGGAGTTCTCTGACCCAGCCACTCCCCACCTTGCTGCAGGACATCACCCAGGCACATGTAAGCCTCACCCCTTTTCCTCTTCCCTGGGAGTTTCCTTGCTCTCTTCCCATTATGGTGGCTCCTGCACTGGCGGACTTCCTGCTGTCCTCCTCACCCCATGAAGCTGTAAATGCATCAGCCCCAATAAACAGTTTGTTGTGCAATACTGCCATCTCATCATGCTGTCTTCTCCCTTGATCAGCCCAACTCCCCTGAACTCACTGCACCAGTCCAGGTGGAAAAATGGGCTGCTAGGGACAATGTCCTATGCCCTGGGAGGTTCTGCCGGTGAAGCATGTGACAAAATACTATCACAGGACCAACCTCTGTTTGCTTGTACTGTGTTCAGCACCCAGCACTTAGCAGTCCACAGAGGTTGGTGGGCTCACGCACCCACCCTGAGGGGGTCACCCCCTTAAAAGCTGAGACACCACATTGTAAGCAATGCCAAAATGAGAGATTAAATGAGCGCTGATTCCTTTAGTTCATTCTGTGTACTGGTTGCTTAATACTGCTGTCCAACTGTGAAGCAGCTAGAAATCACACTGACAATATGCAGAATACTTCTAGAAAGACAGGTCAGGTACAACTGTAGGCAGGACAAACAAGACAATTTTATTCTCAAAATAAAGATATGGTAGAAGTTTTACAATTCAGTATGATTAGACGTGATTTATATTTTAACATTTTTTTAAAACAAATGACAACAAAGAACTAGTAAAAATTATAAAACTACTACAGCAAAGAGAAACTACTTTTCTGATCGAAACATGTGCCGCAGCTAAACTTCCTTAGAAACGGTTTGTGGAAAGCCTTTAATCCCAAATATTTGAACTATTTTTGTAACCATTAAATGCCTTCACCAACTCTTTAATTAAATACTTCCTAAATTTAGGAACTAATGACCAAGGAGCCTGAAACACAGAAGTCTTCATCCTATTTTCCAGCTATAAATTATTAATATTAAAAACAATGTTTTCTAATCACAGAAGCTTTTTGAAAACTTCAAATACCTTTTCTGGCTCAGTACCTGACTAAAATATTCAAATGTTTATACTGCACACACACAAAAAATTTAAGCAGCATACTCTGTGTGTTTGAAAAGCTGATGAAAAATAAGATTGGAAAAAAAAAACAAAAACCCTAAACTGTGTCCCATTTACATGATTTAAATATATAGTTTCTATATCTTTAATTAATGTAAGTAAAAAGGTAAACTTCAGAACAGCACAGAAATACAAATGCATCAGAGTTTTTACAAAATATATCTAACCCTTATACGTGCATAATCTTTTAATTTTGGAGTTACCATACAAGGGAGCTAGTTTCTTCATAATGTAAGCAGGAAGTCATGTGTACAAAGTTATTTATATGAAAAGAATAAGGATCCTCATTCCTTTTCTCTGTCCTTGACAAATATTTATGGAATGTTGGAAATTATGAAAAAACGATTCCAATGTTATGAAGTCCAAAGACTTGGAATGAGAAAACTCCTAGCAGCACATTATGCTACATGGAATGACGATTATCTTCTAGAAATGCAGGCTGTATTCTCTACCGTGTTTAAAGGCTACCAAGGACCTGGGTGGAAAAGCCATGGATATCAGTGCCATCTGTGACCAAGGGACCAGGGAATCCATAGTGATGCACTCCAAGAGTCCCAACCAACTCCCTGACAGACAACAGGCTAAAACGGTTAAGGTTCAAGCGGCCAGGGATCCATCAGTACATCAGCCCCTTGCAGAGCTGAGTGCTCCCAAACTTGTCACCAGCACCAGAAGGAAACGTAACATAGGCAATAACTTTCACAAAACTTTTCTCCACAAAATAGCAAGTAAAAGTAAAACCTGCCTGCCAAGGAAAAAATGTTGTAGCTTCATTTTAAAACTTGAAACTGTCAAGTTAAAACTTTAATTTCTAATTTTTATAACCTTTAGCACATTAAATACTGCTCTCAAAATATTTTCATTCAGATTTTAAGTGCTTTATTCCTCAGCCTTGCAATGTCTTTTCATTTTTCCTCTCCCTTCCTTATTTGCTTTCTCCTTGGCTTTCTAAAAAAATTTAAATGCTTAATACAGAACTTGGAAAGCAAGATAAGGTTGAAGTTATGTCATATACTCTGGCTTGCTGACAAAGTATATTGCTGCTGTGTTTCTTTAAGCAAAAACTAGATGAGAATAGTTTCAAACCTTTGGGCCTAGTGTGTCACTAATGGACTTTTAGGGGGGACTGCTCATACTGGTTACATGAGCAAAATATGCCTTAATCAGACATTCAACGTTTTTCAATTCACTTAGCCCATGGCACCGAGTAGTGTTGATTCTCTCCTCCTTACCTATGTCACTGTCACTATAGTGCCTAGTAGAAATCAAAGTAAACCAGGTACTTTTTCCAAACACCATTTTTAAGTCACCTGGACAGCAATCACACTATAGACGCAGTCTGTGTGCCTGGCATGCCACAAGGAAGTCTAGCTGACCCTGGGTCCCTTAGGCCTATCCTGTTTATAAATACTCAGTTCTTAAATACAAAAGCCTTGGGAAGCACTGGAGTAAGTGTGGCCACCAAAACACATACCTCTCCCAGTGATACAGTCAGAAGATGGTCCAGGGGTCGTGCTGATGGCTCAAAAAGCCAGTGTTTGGAGGGAAGCTACTGCTTCTGGGCTGGCCACTAAGCCAGAGCCTGGAACCCATGCCTGAACTGTGCACATTCAAGGACAAGGGGTCAGGCTTCCTGCCTTCAACTGTGCTGGCTGTCCTAGGGCCCTTGCCAACAATGTAATTGTCTGTAATTCCTGAAAACTTCCAACACCTCCCAGAACCTGAAGGAAACAGAGGTGTGGTCTTTTTGCCATTTCTATGATGAAAGTTCTATCTTCCAAAATATTCATTTCATGTTAGAAATCAGTTAAAGGATCACTTTAAAAGGTGAACTCTTGACTAGAAATATTAATAGAATGTTCAATTAAAGTGTATATTCAAATAGGGAACAAGTGGTACTAAAGCATAGCTAAATTTCATGTAATTATTTTTATTTCAGCGGGATTCCAAAGTACGGGTTGGACTGCTTTCAAAGAGTGAGAATGGAGTTTACTCAATCGTGAAACAGTACAAACAACGTGACAAACCAGCAGCTTGCTGGTGACCCCTCACAGTGCCCCTCGCACTCTGAACTTGAGGGTCAAAAGGTAGCCAACTGCACACTAGTACACGATCACACACAACTAACAACGTGGCCTCATGAAACAAGATGTTAGCATGAATTCTTACAGTTTCAGTGCAACACTGATTAAAGTACCTTTTAAAGTTCTGTTTGGTATTACTTTCTCCTCTTCAAATATTTCCTGAGAAGGTTAAGTTTCCTAGCAGAAGTGGAGTTAATGGAGTTCTCACATTAAGTCCATTAATTTATCATCACTGCATTCTTGAGTTATTATGCACAAATGGAAGTATGCTCTTAGATTTGCTGCAGTTGTGTTAAAACACAAATTGGAAATTGTAGGGATATTTAGTATTATGTCCCTATGTCCATTTGACACTCCCCAGGAGGATTTGCTTCTTAACAGAAACATTTCATAGGGAATACATATAATCAGTGTCCTTCTTAATTAGACCCCTCATTTTCACAATACTCTTTATAGCATATGTAGATTTTACTCACAATGTATTCTCCAAGTATCCTTTGTTACTGAAAAGGCAGTCTGTCCCCCGTAAGTACTCCCTGAGAACATCCATCCAAAGTCCCCTGGAAAAGTGAATGAGAGCTCAGCATGGCAGCACACGAGGTCCAGCTGTGTAAAACCATCAGTAGATAGCGCACACGGGCTTGTGTCTAGCAGGAAGCCAGATGTCCTTTGTGACACAGACAGCTGATGTGAGGCTATAGTTTTCTTCTGTTTCCTCTTGCTTTTCTAAATTTGTGCTAAGATGGGATTTCTATTTAATATTTATGGGTCATCTTGCTTTTCTTTTATAAATACTTTGAGAGGGGGATGGGGACTGATTATAGAGGATTTTCAGTTAGGGAAGCAGGAAGGCCAAGCGCCTTGAGAAGCTTTATGAAGAATAAGACTAAGAGAAAACCTGTCTGTAAACGCCCAAAAGAAAACTATTCAAAAGAAGAAATTAGAAGGCACAAACTTTGGATTAAAAAACGCTTGTAAAACATTGCGACATGACTAGAATTGACAAAACTAACATACAGGGCTTTTAAAATATTGCCCTATACACACATTCATGTTAAACTGTGTGAACACCATTATAACCATCAGTATGCTATTTCTCTGCACACCTACTTGCACACTTAGGACAAGAAAGAAAGCATAGTGACATTCCTTGATGCCTCCTAGTAAGTTTTTAAGAACTTGCAAAGAACAAGTTAAAAACCTCAGAGCTACCACACTCTGACTTTTACGTTTCTGGGAGGAAGGGAATCGACAAATGTGTTTTGTGAGTAGCAAATAAACAAACAAAATCTTAGATAACTCAGCAAAAAGGGTTGGGCTCTGTGGCCCCTTAACCTTATAAGCACATTTTAGGGCTAATCTTAGAAAAATTAAAATAGTAATATAACTTAATTTTAGCAAATATAAATTACAGTGACCATGTGGGTACTTAAACAGCAAAACAAAACACAATTTACATAAGTACAAACTTTTCTAAAGTAAACAAATGTATGATATCAGAACTCAAAATTCATTACAAGGTTCATTTCCTTGTGTGTTTTAATCAGGCTCAGACTGAAATAAAAGTAGTCAAATTAAACCCCAACCTGGAAACCGTCCCTGCAATGGTTGTGATTTCATCTTTCAGCATCCGGTGACATTCACTTGACAAGAGGGCAACTGTTCGTGTAAACAGGTCGGCATCTGGGTCCCCTGCCGTGGACCTATGGCCGGTGACAAGGAATAGTGTGGGAGCAGCAGACGGACAGGGAACACTTCAACCCAAGAAAGCAACAGCAGCCTCTGGACACCTTGCTCAGGGCTTCCCATCGGGCAGCTCGGTGAGACTTTGAGGGGTGGAGGTGGTGAAAGTGGACAGCCATGAAGACATGGCTGTCTTTGCACTGGAAAAAGCTCCTCCAACCGACTGGCCTGGATAGAAAGGAGGGGAAAACAAAAAGAAAAGCGGCTTACTTTTGTTAAGAGAAAGGCAAAGACCAATGCTAAGTAATAAATGTGAATTCAATGTAACACGCTAGTAGGTTAATAGTTATGAAAATATCATGTAAATTTCTATTTTCAAAATCCCTTTCCATGGGCATGTCTTAACAGCAAACTGGATCATTTCATGGTACACGAGCCCACTCTCCTAGGCATTCTAAAGGTATTCAGCAAACTGCTCTCTCAACACCCACACAGCTAGGCCAGTGGTTCTCACCCTGGCTGTGCATCAGAACCAGTCGCAGAGCTTAAAACAGGTCCTATGTGCCCTCTGTACCCTAAATGACAAGCTGGTAACTGAAAACAGTGGGAAGGGTGTTTAGGCTGCTCTAGCAAAATGTGCTTTTGTCACCTGAAATTCTGTCGCATTAAACAAAGATATGTGCAGAGAGAGCTCTACCTACCTCAGGACTTTTTTTTTTTTATAATTTATTCTATTTTTTTGTTGTTGAGAATATACACAGCAGAACACACATCAATTCAACAATTTCTACATGTACAGTTCAGTAACATTCTTCAAGTTGTACAACTATTCTCATCCTTCTTTTCCAAATTGATCTTCCCCTATTAACACACACTCACTGCCTTCTAAGTTTCCTACCTAAAGTTTTGAGTTGCTGTTGTCAGTCTCATCCCATACAGATACTTCTTAAAAGAACACCATGCTCAAGGCAGATATTCTTCACTAGTTAACCTAACTATTGTTTTGGTTTTAAGAAGAGTTCAGGGGATACATGTCTATTTTGTTTCAAAGAACATTATCTCACAAGTTGATGCTAAGTGAAATTATTTAAGTTGAATCATATATTCCCAGTATTCTTTAGGAGGAGAGTGTGGAGAACTGTCTTTAGAATTTAATTCTAAGCAATAACATCACTAAAAATTTATTAACATTTGACATCATATACCTATAACGAAGTGGGATTTTTCTATTAAAAAATAAGAACTCAAAGTAAGTCAAATGCGTAATACTATATGAAGTGCTTATACACCAAATTTCATTCCCTTGGAATAAAATAAACCTAGTGATAGGGCTATGTGTTCTGTGTTTGTTTTTTAAAAGGAGTCTGTTGAGTTCTCCTGCTCTGTCACTCTCTAGGTATACAGAATGTCAGAGCTAAGAAGGCTCCTACATAGAGATTACCTAGTTCTGGGGCTTCTGAACTACCTTTAGTAAGGGTTAATCAACCTCTCTCAGGAGCTAAGGAAGGTGGGTACTATTTTTAAATATTGGTATGACAAAGCAAATGGGGCAAACTGTAAACAAGTGGTGAATCTGAGGTACCTGGGAATTCCTTTTACTAATGTGATATTTAAGTTTGAAATTATATCAAAATAAAAAGTTTTAAAAGAATGAAAAGTTTCTCTATTAACTGATATGGAACAATATTCAAAATATTCTAAGTAAAAAAGACAGATGTGGAAGAGTATATATAGTATGCTACCATTTGTCTGGCTTTGCTATAGAGGTAATACTGGCTTCATTAAATGGGTTGGGGAGTATTACTCACCTACTATTTCCTGAAAGAGTTTGTGTAAAATTAGTATTATGTCTTCCTTCAATGTTTGATAGAATTCCTAAGTGAAGCCATCTGGGCCTGGAGATTTCTTTGTGATAAGGTTTTTAATTTTGAATTCAATTTAATAGATACAGGGCTATTCAGATTTTCTATTTCTTATTTGCCTTGGTTTTGGTAATTTGAGTCTTTCCAGGAATTAGTATATCTCATCTACGCTGTCAAATCTGTTGGCATACTAAATTGTTCACATTATTCCTTTATTACTCTTTAATTTCTCTAACATCTATACTGATAAGCCCTTTCACTTCCAATATTAGTGACTTGTGTCTCTCTCTCTTTCTCTTCATCAGCCTAGAAAGGTTTTATTAATATTGTTGATCTTTTCAAAACACCGACTGTTGGTTTCATTGGCTTTCTTTATCATGTGATACTACCTTAGGAGACAGCAGCTCCTAATGCCCAATTTATTATGGGTCTCAGCCATTTATAAAGAACTGTGGAGGGCTCAGGCAATGGGGAGAAAAACCATAGTCAGGCTTGAGTCCTGACAACAGAACAGCCAACCCATCAGACCATTTTGTCACTGTTAGATGTGGCAAAATTTGCTGAACTTTGATAATACCTGGTGCCACAAGAATTTTTCTAAAATAAGACAAATGAAAATTTAAAAAACCTGTTTTCAACCACCTTGTATTATTATTACATGATACCCAGATCTCTGCCAAAAAACAACAACCCACTGCCATCAAGTCAATTCCGACTCCCAGCGACCCTAGAGAACAGAGCAGAACTCCCCCACAGGGTTTCCAAGGCTGTAATCTTTATGGAAGAAGACTGCCACATCTTTCTCCTGCAGAGTGGCTGGTGGGTTCGAACTGCTGATCTTTTCTGTTAGCAGCAAAGAGCTTTAACCACTGTGCCACCAGGACTCCTATCTCTACTAGTTTATGTTTTTATCAACTACATATTGAAGACAGAAAATAGATACATTACGATTTCAGTCTGTTCTTGGCTAAACGCATGCCTTACCAACAGCTTTTCCTGTTTGCACAACATTCCGGCTGGTTATGACCATGACGTTTCCAATTTTTTTGCCACGTTCACTGTTCTGAACAGAACTGAGAAAAGGAAATAAAAGCAATAAGTTCAATTTAAAAAAAATTTCTCACACACACACTATAATCAGTCTGAGTCCTGGTGACCACTGGTAACCACTCTATAACTATCCCAAATGAGAATCATTGAGAAAAGAAGCTAAATTATTCATAGTTGGTTATGAATAAATTAATTTACTGACTTTTTAAGCATGTGAATCTTCAGAAAATTCTAAAAGAACATAAAATGGACCAAAAAATAAAGATCTAAGGATGTTTGGTTAATTCTTCCTGACAGACATGATTTGCTGAAAGCATTTCACCAGAATACAAATGGCAAATTCTGTTATTAGTTCACACCATTCTCCATGGAACAACAGTGTTTTCACTTTTAAACATACACACTGCTGAGCTGGAGAATGTCATGCACATATTTGGTTACTATTTGAAGCACAAATCTAACAAGTGGAGAAAAACAATTCCCAATTAGCAATGAAACACATGGCATAAATTCAGACATCCGAGTTTTCCCAATATTTTCTCTAAATACTCACTGTGAGAATCTTAACTTCATGTCTGACACTGAGTACTGGCCTTGAAATGGATGGCTGTAAAACAGAGTTTGAGTTTAGACCATGAACATTTCACCATAAAAGCTGCACAAGAGCTACCACAAACAGTATTAGTGAGCCTTTTGGGGTGACAGCTGTGGCAGCGACGAACTTGCTACCAGGACAATGGCTCTCCACTTAGCCCTCTGGGACCCAAACGACATCACTTAACCTCTCTGAACTTGAGTTTCCTCACCTGTAATACAAGTGTTGTTTTTGGAGGGGGCGGTGTTCGTGTTACCCTAATATTCTGATGTAATCAGTCTGGGGCGGGGCCCAGGCATCAGCATTTTTTAAAAGCTCTCCAGTACATTCTGATGTATGCCACAACATGGATGAAGCTTGAAAACTCTATGCTGAGTGAAATAAGTCAGTCACAAAAGGACAAATACCGTATGCTCCCACTTACATGAAATAAGCAAATATACAGAAACCAAAGATTATTAATGGTCACCAAGGGTAAGGAGGGGTCAGGGGGAGTTTTTGTTTGGGGCCCTGAGTTTATGTTAATGTGGGGGGATACCTTGGAAAAGGACAGCAATAATGGTAGCACAGAAAAATATAATCAACGTGATTGAAATATAAATGTGGATGTTGTTGTGTTGGCAAATGTTTTGGCGTGTATGTTTCCACAACAACTAAAAAAAAAAAGCTCTCCAGTATATTCAGAGTTTCAGAATCTAGGCTGTATCCTGGCCACCTTATAAATATTTGCTATTGGTCATGGCAAGATTTGTGGATGGCTCAGCAAAACCCATACTTTCTATTAGAAAAGTAACTAAAAATAGCACTATCTTCATTTTTGTAAGAAAGCACACTATGCTTACTTCCCTACTTTCATTACACAAAGTGGAAAAAAGCGTTTATGTGATTTATGGGCCACCTTTTGCAGTCAACGATTTGGCCTGTTGGTCCTGGTTCTGAGAGTAGGCCCACACCTGAGACCAAGGAGAGAGGGCCAACCTGACTAAGAGGTATCACCTGGTGATGCTGTCTAAGCCTCAAGGCCTGAGAAGACAGGCTCACAGAAGCTTCCTCCAGCCTGGAAAGTGCTCACATCCTCGGAGAAGGGGGGAGCACATCCCCTGGGAACACGAAAGCTTTGTGCTGAAGAACAACCCCCACTCACCCACCTAATCCTTATCCCAGGGTAGAGACATGTGCCTGGGGGATAACAGACTGGAAGATTCATCAGAAGGGACTGGCACCAGAAACCCTGGACAGGCCCAGCAAAAGGCAGAGCCAGGAGAAAATACCAGCAGAAACCAGAAGCAGAAGCCGGTGTGTGCTGAGCAGAGAAGTCACAGCAGAGTGGTCTGAGAGGATTGAGCTGAGAACTGTAACATGCTTCAGGCTGCAGCAGAAATCCCAGCTGAGAGCGAGAGGCTCAGAGGTGGCACAGGGGCCCTTGTCTGAGGTGCTAAGGGGCCTGCCTGCCGAGCCTTGGTACATCCAGGTAGGGGTTGCCCACTGAGCAGTTCTGCTTCGAGCGATGCCGGTCCAGGACTGTCCCGAGGCTGCTAGTTGACAGCTGGACCAAGCAGCAAAGGGGCCAGGGCCAAGACATATGCCAGCCCAGTGACGTAAGAGTAAACATCATCCTCACCACGAAACTATTACTTACGTATCGTTCGCTATCTCCTTTTCATGTGCTAAGGCTTTGGGAGTGTCCTTGTGTTCTGGCTCTGATCAGAGGGACATGATATTTACAAACAATCTGCTAACACACCATAGATAATGGCGTGTGTACACTGCAGAATATATTGAAAATCCAGGCGACTTGACCAAAGTTACACTATAAAAGAGGGTTATTAAATATCCAAATTTGTATCTTATACTCAGGGGTCTGTTGTATCTAACAAAGAAAAAGACCCTAGTGAAATTCTATAGCTACTTATTACAAAATGCTATTTATGGTTTTTCAAATGACTACTAACCACTCCTTGTGGGTTAAAATAAGTATATATAACAACAACTCTCTTCTTCTGGATTCCTGAATCACAGGGTTGAAAGAACTGGAGGTCACTTAGTCATTCTCTATGACACTGGAAAGGCTGCATTTAAGGGATCAAATATGCCTCCTGCTTGTTGAGGGAAGTTAGAGGCCTGCCTTGTCTAATTTTTAGGAATCAAAGAAAGGGTTCCATAGCTCTCAAATCTTACAATTAGTTTGGAATTATTCTAAATTATACCCCTTGAAAACTGAAGACTACCATTTCTTGTATTTAGTTCGGTGAAAATGTTGACACTTTGCTATCATATCTGCATAATTCCCCTACCTACGTATTTCAGTTAACAGGTCCTTCTTCAGCCTTCTCTTCAACCTACATAACCTCAGTTTATTTATACATTTTTACTATTATTTTACAACTTTTCAAAACCCATTCCCGCCAAGCCTCTTATAGACCTGCATTAAAATCTGTAGAGCTGGTTCAAGTTAAAGGCACGACACCGGAAGCAGCAACTGGATAAAGATCTGACCAAGTTCAGCAACACAGAGCGAAGAGGAGACTCCCAGCTCCGCATGTGGACCTCCGCAGTCAGGGCTGACCTGCACCACCCCCGTGAGTGCCTCCAGGCAAACAAGCTCACGGGCTTCATCACTTTTTAGAACACAGACCTTGTAGTTAGGGAGAATACTTTGAACTCCTACTCCTTTCATTTAATACTATTAAAATGTTTTTGCCTTTTAATCCTGTTTTGACTACACTGGAATGGCAGTATAAGCTTCTGTTGTAATTCAGCGTGATGATTAAATTCAACAAAATTGATGCTGAACCCAGTCATTTTTCATGATAGATGATTGTTATGGATTGAATCATGTCCCCCCAAAATATGTGTTGTAAATCCACAAGTATAAGTGTTAAGGATAAGGAGCCCTGGTGGCGCAATGGTTAAGCACTTGGCTGCTAACTGAAAGGTTTGTGGTTCGAACCCACCAGCCACTCCATGGGAGAAAGATGTAGCAGTATGCTTCCCTAAATATTGTTGTTGTTGTTAGGTGCCGTCGAGTCATTTCTGACTCATAGTGACCCCATGTACAACAGAACCAAACACTGTCTGGTCCTGTGCCATCCTAACAATCATTGCCATGTTTGAGCCCACTGTTGCAGCCACTGTGTCAGTCCATCTCGTTGAGGGTCTTCCTCTTTTTTGCTGACCCTCTACCAAGCATGATGTCCTTCTCCAGGGACTAGTCCTTCCTTATAACATGTCCACATTAGTTATGTGAGACAGAGTCTTGCCATCCTCGCTTCTAAGGAGCATTCTGGCTGTATTTCTTCCAAGACAGATTTGTTCGTTCTTCAGGCGATCCACAGTATATTCAATATTCTTCACAAACACAATAATTCAAAGGTATCAATTCTTCTTTGGTCTTCAAAATTACAGCCTTGGAAACTGCCTGGGGCAGTCCTACAGAGTAGTTTCCAAGGCTATAAATCTTTATGGAGGCAGACTGCCACATCTCTCTCCCGTGGAGCAACTGGTGGGTCTGAACTGCTGACCTTCGGGTTAGCAGCTGAGTGCTTAACCACCACACCACCAGGACTCCCTTCATTCACACACAAATGTTATTATTTCATAATGGCTCCAATCCAGATCATGTTTAAGTATCTTTTATGCCTATGTGGGCTAAAGCTTCAGTCAACATTCAATACTGTGGCAGGTATTCAATTTTGTTGAATTTCAGAATTTGATGTGGAAACAGGTTTGACCACTTATCTGAGTTTAAATATCAACTGTAACTTAGTTTTTCATACTTCATGTTTTAAAATAACCTCCCAGCTTTACACCAGTGGTTATTTCCCCCAAGGCTTCCATCTTGTTTGACCTTTCTCTGTGGGAAAAGGAAAGAAGAAACCCTCTCTCTGAATTACACCGGGAGCAGAGAGAAATGTTGGCGCTTCCAATAATGCCTTTCTATAAGTATGAATAGGGAAGCAGTTTTCAAGCTGTTTCTTTGTGCTTGGGAGCCTTTTATAACTCACCTAAGGAGATTCTTTAAGATATTCACAGTATCATCAAGGCTAAAATATGGTTTTCTTTATACTGGGGCATACTCAGTAAACCAGCCATGCTATGTACTATCTCAATCTTCACAGGATGTGCTTACTTAGGGTTTATTTCTGCAAGTGCCGGATGCTTGTTGCTGTTCCATACCCTGTAGTTGTGTGTATTCTTCCATGCTGTAACAAAGGTTGTCCCATAGTCCGACAATATCTTTTCATTATCTGTCAAGTAAATATTTGAAAGAAGTTGAGCTGGACTGTAGCCAGTCAGGGATGTGAAGATTAACCACCAAAAAGGGTAAAGGAATGGCTTTATCCCCCCATCCCCCTGCTTTTTTGGGGAGATAGCCTACCAGATGTCAGGAAACTTGGGTCTAGTTCCAGAAATCCTGTTAAGGAGCTATGTGGCCTTTGGCAAGTCACTTAATCACTCAGAACTTCATTTTCCTAACCGGAAAATAAGAGGATTGAGCTAGATATTCTCTAAGGTTCCTTATAACTCCAAAAATATTTCTACATTCTCCTTACCAAGGTTATAAAGATAGCATTATGCAGTAAACGAAAACTATAGGCTTCACAGTGAGTAAATGTACTGATCTATACATACATACATGGCGTCACCATGAGTCAGAATTGACTCGACGGCAACAGGTTTGGGTTTTTATTCATGTGAAGTAGGCAATTAGATTATCTATCTTTTCACCAGTATCATTTTTCTAAGAAAAAAGATGAAGAATGAATACATGAAATGGTTCTTTTAGCCACTATTTTCTCTTCTTTGGACTTCGTCTCATTGGTGTTTCATTCTTGAGCTTCCATGCATTTCACTGTCAAAATACCTAAAATAATAACAGGTATTTTCATATTTAACATTTAAAAAAGTTTTCAACTTTATTAATACCATGGGAAAGCTTCAATGTAGAGTGTTTCTCCCACCTGGAAGAATAGAAGAGGTCTGGAGAACTGATTCAAATGGCTACTGCTTCACATACTAACTGCATGTTGCTTGCTTTGAAGGTGAAATACAAGTGCCTTTTGTTGCTGGGAAAGGAAGAGAAGGAGCTATAAAGGAAGAGAAGGGTCCATATGCAGCATAAGGAAGTTCTTTCTAGAACATATTCCTCCAGCAGTTGATTAGGCTGAATATCTTCTTTTACCTGGTTAAGAGCATGGTCCTGAGACAGACTGCTCAGATTTAAAATCCAGCTTAGCCTTTTAACAGATGGATGAGCAAGCTATTTACCTTTCTGTGTCTCATTTTCTCATCTGTGAAATGGGGATGATAAGGTGTCTGCCTCTAGGACTGTGGTGAGGATAACATGAGCCAACAGAACAGTTCAGAACAGTTCCTTGCTCAGAACAGTTCCTTGCACATATTAAATGTTATGAAAAAAAATCTTAGCTACTATTATTATTCACTGCTTACAGCTACCTGGGCAAATATTTTTTTAAAGGCAAATTACTCATGAAGCTACATGTCTGGTGGAGTTTTCTTTCTAGATTAATGATTCTGAGTTAGAGGCCTTAATTTGGTATCTCAGCTGCTCTAGCTATAGAAGGGCAGACATTCTAAAATACAGCATTAACATTCCTTAGCTTTCCTTTATTAATGAAGAAAACTCCTGAAACTTGGGTTTAAAACTCTATACACACTATATGAAGAACTAACCTGTGAGGAGGAGGTGGGGCAGTGGCAGAGTTGACTAAAAAAACTACCAAATATTTGCCAATGTCCAGGTAGAAATTAACAAGATGGGAAAGCTCACTGCAGAGCTCCGTTTTTTCTTTTTATACCTTTTCTAAGGAAAAGGAGATAGTTCGGCCTGGCTTCCAGGCTTTCCATCACTAACAATGGTTTAATCAATGGTTGATTCTATGATTAGCTTTCCCATTTTAGCCAGTTAATGAGAATAATAACATTTCTTAGAATGGGGCATAAATTTGAAGGTTTAATCACTCAGACTATGATTTTCAATAATAGTTATTTTTATATTTCTTCTCCTTCCCATTATATCTTCTGGTTTTTAATTGCATTTTTTTTTAATTTATTTTTTCCCTCCCATTATATAGCTTAAAAACATGTGAGCAGTGTTTATATAAACAGCCCCAAAATACTGATATATCCTCCGGTACAATGGAATATTAAGCCACCCTGTGAAAGTAACAAAGGTCTATGTTTACTGTCTTGACAAGTGTTCATGTTCCTATTAGAAAGTAAGAAAAGTTTATGAAAACATGTATACTATGATCCATTTTTGTAAAAGGACTACCACAAACACAACAAAACCTAAAATTGAAAATATATGCATAATAAAGCCTGAAAGAATATAAAGCACTCCAAATGCTAGGAGTGGTTATCTCTGCATGGGGCAATGTTGTTGTTAGCTGCCGTCGAGTTGATTCAGACTCATGCAACCCTATGTATGCAGAGTAGAACTGCTCCATAGGGTTTTTTACTGGCTGTCTTCCAAGGCGCCTCTGGGTGGGTTCAAACCTATCAGCTAGTAGTAGAGCACTTAACCATTTGTACCACCCAGGGAGTCCTGTCTGGGGCAATAACAGGCAATTTTTCTACAAATGAACATGTATTTCTTGTGCAATTCAAAACATCATAAATGTTACAAGATGAAAAATCATAATAAAGAGGGCAGCTGCATGCTTTGTGTGGTTTCTTACCTAACTGTAGTGTAGCAGCCAGCAGCGCATGGATGTAGACTGCAAACTGGGCCCGGATCCACTCGTCACCTCCCTCCCAGCCCGTGCCATCCAAAAAGACGTCATCCCGGTTCTCAGTCACGTGCCTCACTAGGTAATCTGCGAACCTTAGGTCTGCCGTGGTTGGGTTAAGCAGCTTCCTGAGTTCTGGATCATGGATCTGGATCAGAGCTTCTTCTACCTAGAGGGTACCCAGGTATAAGTCAGAGTCTGGGCATTCACGCAGATATCCATGCCACACTTTACAGAGAAACTACTGGGAAGTTGCAGCTGGAAATAAAAGAATATGACTAACAGCATTCTCAAAAGGTGAGTCTAAGAAAGAGTTTACACTTTTTTTCCTTCTCTATTTTAAAAATGCTCATTTTGACTTTAGAAACTGCACACAAAGTATATAATTTAAAATATAACAGTAGTTCGCCCTGATTGTAACTATCCTGGAAAACATAGAAATGTACAATAAAAATCACTCTTTCCACACCCAGAAATAAATACAGTTAACAATTAATGTAATTCCTTTAAAGTTTTCCTTTGAATGCACAGATACTTTGTAATTTTAAAACTGTGTAATGTTTGCTATACAAAGACCTATCTATCTAAAATAACTTACAGGTTAGCTTTGAAGTATAATAATAACAAATAGCCATGACCCTCAAATGAGCTTCAGAACTAGAATGTAACCAATAATGCTAAAGCACCTCTGTGGTCCTCTCATCCACATCCTCCTATCTTGAAAGGCATATATGTTTCTTTCTTCCTCAAACCTGGGATAACACAATATAGTTTGAAACCCTGCATTTTTCATTTATTATATTATAAATATTTTCCAAGGAAGCGTATTTTGGTACTTTCTGCCAGTAACTATAAAAGCCTTAATGTGGCTGGATTTTTTTTACAATTACTTTAATGTTAAGAAATGATTTAAATTTCTTATATATAGATGTCACTGTTTATTCTTAGCTTCCTTACTCTTAAGAATATTAAACGGACTAGAACTATTTATATTATTTAAACAACAAACACATGTTAATAGTGAGACTGTAGTAGAACCAGATTGCCTGGGTCTGAATCCTGGTTCTTTCACTTACAAGCTGTTTGATCTTGCACAAGTTACTTAACTTCTCTGTTCCTTTGCTTCTGGAAGTGAAAATGTGGACAGTAACAGTACCTATCTCAAACAGTTGTTATGAGAATTACATCAGTTAGCATATGTAAAGTGTTCAGAAAGCCTAGCATATATGTAAATGATGATTATCATTATCAGTGTTAATACCATGCCCTCGTAATTGCATTTGAGAAAGGAAAAGGAGGACCAGAAGTGTCAAACACACACACACATATGTAAACGTACTTCCACAATGGCATCACTGAGATGTTTCTGTTGTCGAAAAAGGATGTTAGTAGCTCCAGCAACAAACCCCCGAACGGTGACATCAGAGAGAAGATGATGCTGCTGCAATGCCATATAAGGCAAACAGAGATATCCCTAAGAATTATAAGAGTACAAAAAATATTAGGATAGTAAAAGAATGAGTATCTCTCTTAACGCCCAGAAGCTAATAGTGGAACAAGAAACTCCCACTCTTTCTCCCCTGCCCTGCCCGCTAGTGCAGCTAATCTCTGAGTCATCGAAATAATATTCTAGGGGAACCTCAGGCCTTGATTGCAAAAAGGCCAGTTAACGTTTTATCTTCTCCATGAATGGTCAAATCTTGGCAAGGTGGTTTAATGTGAAGGCTCTCTTACTTGAACATTTGGTTCTCAGTTCAACATAAAAGCCTCCACAGTAATTAATGGCTTGAACGTTTTCATTTAGGAAATGAACTATTATTAAGTCCACTAAAAAGTAAGCTGTTTAGCAGAAAGCTATTAATTCTTTCAGTAAAATTTTAGAACACATGTATCTACACACAGACATCAAAGCACTATTATGAGAAGAGCAAGCACTGCACAGGCATTTGTTTGGTTAAGCTGCAGTTAAAACTCATGCAAAAAATTTTCAAGATAATTGCTACTGAATGTTTAAAGCAAAAATGGCATTGCCAACAGTCATGTATTCATTACTATTTGAACTGTATTTCAAAATAGTACTTCCCTGAAAATTATAGCTCAATTGCCAAACCACAGCAGGCAGTTAAGTACAAAAAGCAGCATATTTCCTGAGAGTAAAGGTATTAACACTGGAATGAATCACTGAAGGAGGATATGAAATTTCTGCTGAAAGACTGTAAATCAGAACAGGTTTTCAACGAGTGGTGCGATTTGTGTATGAAGCCAGGAGGGCAGACTTGCTGAGCCCTTGAACTTCTTTTCAGTCTCAAGTTGAATAACAATTTTATTTTTTACTTCTCATCACTTTTTAAACACTGAATTAGAGCTGTTTGGACAATGTCTTGTTTACATCAAGCAATGAACTCTCTGAGGGCAGGAGATATTCCTTTTGCGACTTCATGTTCTTCACTGTATCTGGGACAGTGCCTTGTACCTAACAGGTGGTTGCTAAATACTTAATATCAGATGGAAGGCTTCCAGAAGTAGGAATACAGGTCTAACAAGTTGGTATAATTCTTTTTTCCCCACGCTGGTATTATTCTTATTCTTGACAATGTCTTTTGCTGCTTTATAAAACTCTAACAGAAGCAGCAAAAATAAATCTATGTTTACACATAAGAGATGATCAGGATAGGGCTTCTCAACCCACACGCCATGACTAAACACTGAGGGGCCCCTGCTCAAGGAGGCCCGCTCCTATTCTCACTCACTGAGTCGTAACAGTCACGTCTCCATTCCTTGTGTGCTATGTGTTTGAAAAACAACAGACCCTCCTCCCTGTTTCCAAACATAAAATATTACAATATTAAATACTTTGTCAAACTTGATGTGGCCCCCTAGGACATCCACACCCTAACTAGGACTGAGAATTCTTCTACTTGATAAAGGCACTCTTCAGAGCTGCCTATCAATGTAAAAGATTTACACCGAAAAATAGTAATAAGAGAATATAATTTAATTGCTCACAGTATTACATTTCATAATTGACTGAAGAAAAGTCTACTGTCAACAGTGGCATTCTTGGCTAAGTATATTAACAGCATCAAAATTAAGATGTTCCAAAGACAACAAAGCAGTTCAAAGCTATTTAAAAATATGAAAATATACATTCCTTTAAAAATTATGAATATACATACCCTTGACTCAGCATTCTACTTCTTGTAATTTATCCTACACCTGCTCATGTGTGATAGCACGTATGTAGAAAGTTATTTATTGTAGCATTGTTTGTTAAAGCAAAAGACTAGAATCCTAACTGTTCATGAATAGGGGACTAGATAAATGTTATTCCTACAAGGGAGGGGAAAAATATACTATGTATTTTTTAGTGCACAAAATACCTCCGGAAAAAAACATTAAGACACTGATAACATTGGTTGCCACTAGAGAGGGCAACTGGGTAGCAGGGAATAGATTGGAACATTTTGAATACTGAATTAGGTGAAAGTATTACATATTCATAAACTTATTTAAAGATAAACTAAAACCAGTTGCCTTCGAGTTGATTCCGACTCATAGTGACCCTACAGGACTGAGTAGAACTGCCCCATAAGGTTGCCAAGAAGCGGCTGGTGAATTTGAACTGCCGACCTCTTGGTTAGCAGCCGAGCTCTTAACCACTGTACCACCAGGGCTCCATTTAAAAATAACAGCAACTCAAAACAGCTTTAAAAATTTGCCATCAATCCTTTTAATGATGTTCACTTAAGCTTAAGTTTTTTAAAGGCAGCAAAAACATGGGTCTTTCCCACATACACTGAACTATAGAGAATAAAGCAGCCTCCACACCCAAGCTCACCCCTGGCTTTACATATTTCTAGGGGACTTTAACTTCCATGTTTGAAGCTGCAGTATATAATGATAAACAAACAAACCTCAACTTGGTAAATCTGGTAGAACTATTTATTGTCAACTGGTCTTCTGAAAAGTTGCAAAAGCGTAGCCTGCCTTCTTTCATGCTCTCATTTCTTCCAGAAATGGTCGGAATCTACCCCCCGCCCGCCATGATGGCAATTTATAGTAGACTTAGGGGTGGTGGTTAGAGGAGCTGCCCTTTTTGCAATGGTTAGAGAGGAGAAGAGGACATTTGAGAGCTTATTATACTTAAGGCCCTGGGCTGGGCACTTCAACCTGTATTATTAATTGTACCCATTGCTGTTGAGTTGATTCTGACTCCTAGCAACCCTATAAGGACAGAGCAAAACTGCCCCATGAGGTTTCCAAGGCTGTAAATCTTTACCGAAGCGGACTACCACATATTTCTCCCACAGAGTGGCTGGTGGGTTTTAATCTCAGATCTTTTAGTTAGTAGATGAGTGCTTAACCAATACGACACCAGGGCTCCCTTTATTTACCGTAGGCAGTTCTAAATTCTTTCATCTAAATGAATTTTGGTTAGACCCAACTTGGAAAGGGCTAGGATATTATCAGAACCAACCACCATTTTTCTCATTTCTTTTCTAGTCAAGGACTAAACAAATGTTTATGAATTGCAAGCCTCAGTATTGTAAAGATGTCATTTGTCTCTCCCCAAACCTGATCTATAGCTGAAATGTAATCGTTATCACTTAATTTAGATTCTCAACCTGTGTGAGTGTGAGAACTTGACAAGCTGATTCTAAAATTGATGCAAATGGAATGCAAAGTGGAAATGCAAAGGTATAAGAAATTCTTGAAAAACAATTCCAAGATGGGAAGACTTTCTCTACCTAATGTGACATACACAGTAATTAATTTAACACAGCATGGGACTGGCACAGGGGTAGACAAATACACCAAAGGAAGATAAAAAGAAAGTCCTGAAACAGACTCCTTTCCTCAATCATACACAAAAATCAATTCCAGGCAGACTAAAAACCAAAACATTAAAGTCAAAACTACAAAGCTTTTAAAAGATAATATAGGAGATTATCTTCATATCCTTGAGGTAGGGGAGGATTTCTTAAAACAAGACCCCAAAGGCACTAACCATAAAGTATAAAACTGATTACAGGTCCCCAAAATCAGGGGACAGGAAAGTTGGTAATAGGGAACCCGAAGCTGAGAAGGGACAGTGTTGACATGTCGTGGGATTGTTAATTACTGTTACAAAACAATGTGTGTACTAACTGTTTAATGAGAAACTGTTCTGTAAATCTTCATCTAAAGAGTACAATAAAAAAAAAGAAAATTACGAGCTCTTTGGAAAAAAAAAAAAAAAAGTCCCCAAAATCAGTGACAGTAAGGGAGACAACCCACAAACTCAGAACAGATACTACATGAAAGCAAAACCTAAATGGCCAACAGTGTATGAAAAGATGCTCAAATTCAATAGCAATCAGAGAAATGCAAACCAAGTGCCCCCAGATACAACTACTCACCCATCACACTGGCTAAGAATTACAAAGTATGACAATATTAAGTGCTGGAGAGAGCCCTGCTCTGGCTGCTTTGTTCCAGTGTGCAGCCAATTTCAGAACACATTCAGTAGTAAGGCACAAAGACTTAAAACTGGGGAAAAATGAAGTCCTTGGGATTTTCTTTTCAAATATGAAAATAACTACCTTATCTTTCCCTTTATCTTTTTTTCCATTTCCCCATTTCCCTTCTACCTTTTTTTCTGATTATAAATTGGCACAGTCCAGGCCAAAGGAAGATTAACCAGTAAGCCAGGTAAGCATGTGGTGAAAACCAGGTAAAATTGCGCACTACAGATTAGTTTAAGTAAGCACAAGTAAGCCCGTGACTACCTTGCTTATAGAGTAATCTGTCCCTGAATTCAGCAGAGCATAAACAGTAAACAGGTATAATTCACTTTCTAATTTTCCTACTTCTTTCGGCTTTGCCCATTCCCTTCCCTTCACCTCATGGGTAGCCTACACCACGGCTGCCTCTAGACCCACCTCCTCTCCCTAAGCACCTGCTTCCCCCTTCATAAAAAGCTGGAGAGTGGGGGGACCATTTCAGGCATACTCATTTTATTATGTAGAAATCTGTTTCCATTTATTCGAGTCAGGGAACTCGTCAATGCTCACTAAAACAATGTAGCTTCCAGAGTATGTCTTGGATAGTCTATCTCACTATCTTAAAGAGTTACTGCACATTAAGAAATGTCATCTGGAGACACAGTATCTTGAATCAAAGATTCAGTTTGATTCACTATGTTGTAATTAAGTTATTTTTAGAAATTACAAATATATTTTAAGTGACTTTTTCATAAAAAGACTGAAAATTTGTTTTTAGGCAACAATGAACCAAAACATGAAATTCTATCTAAATGAAGTTTACTAATATTTAAGTTAGACATCTAGGAGTTTTTTTCTTTTTAAACTGTACTTTTGGAGTTGTAGTACTTCAATGTATATTCATTAGCTGCAAACAAAAACTTATGGACTTCCTCAATTCATCTTTTTCAAAGAGAAATTGGAAAAATTAAAAATAGACCTAATATATTGATTGCTGACCTGACACCTACTAAGTTTCAAAATTCTTTCAAATAAAAAACCACTGAACTAATTCCTTACAGCTGTACAGATGGTCACAGACGCCAAGGCACTACACTCGTAGTGTGGTATATTACAGTTTTTAAGGAAAATTTTCAGATGTGAAAATGTGTGCAACACTAAAAGTTAAACTCTAAAAGACTTCGTCATATTCTTTATGGGACTCAATAAGTAAAGGACACTAAACTTTACCTTTGTGAAGATGGCCAGGGGCATGCCATATTGGTCCTCTTCCAAACCCGATATTAGCCCTGGTATCAGGACCACTTGCCCCGTATTAGCTTGAGGTTGTACAGTAATTGGAGGACTGTCTGAGGGCACAGAGTCCTTTGGGAATAAGTTTGTTTGTTCTGACCCAACCTGTTCCCTTTCTTTCAAGCTGGGGTCCTCTAATATGCTAGGATCCAAGGTCTCCCAGTCACTTTCTGAAGACTCTGGAGATGGTCGGGAAGGAGGCTTCAAAAACTGATTGGTATTATTGGGTTCCGGTCCTTTGCTGCTGTCACTTTCTACTTGGAACAAAGGTTCTCTGGTCTGTATGACAGCATCACCTCCACGATTTCCTGTCATGGTTTTCTTAACAGTTCCCGAGATGCTAATTGAGATGTCAGGTACAGACACAGAAACAAAATCATCTGCAGGAGGATTTGTTTCCTGAAGCCCAGCATCTTCTGACATACTTTTTCGGGGTCTATACTGAGAACAGTCGCTGAGACCATGTTCAATCATGCCTAAAATACATAACATTGGAGAAGAGCTTGGCTTATAATGACAAATACTGGAGAAAATAATAGCTGTATATTCCATTTTATATTAGGTGAACTCTTCCATAAAACATTTAATGAGCTACACATGTCCGCATTTTAATTTATTAAAAAAAAAGAGAGACACCCACCCAAATAAAAGAGAGAAATCTACTCTCAAAATGAAAATGTCATACTAAAATAGAAATGTCAACCCTGGTGAGTTTACCCTTAAAAACTCTTATCATTGAAAGTTCAGGTACAAGTTAAACAAAAGAAAGAGTGGATACTGCTACAATCTTACCTGGAAAAAGGGATAACACAGTCATCAGTGCACCCACCAATTTATTCACTGGAGAAATATAAAAGAGAACCTGAAATGGAGTCAATAAAATTAAATCAGAAAATCCGTAAGTCCATAATAACACTAAAAAAAAGGGGGAGAGGGACTCTTTTTTACAGAACATTAACCACTAGTAATGTAGAAGAAATGACAGAATTAAAAAAATCACCATTTGGCGTCCACCAAAGTAATAAACAACTGATTCAGTAAAAAATTATCAATGGATGCTAAAACTATTGTGAAAGGTTGCTGGGCAACAGGATATTCTCATATAATATCAAATTAATCATCCCACAGATTACTGAACAATGCAATGCATGATTCCTGACCGTATCCCAGACTGAACAACAACCAGCTTTAAAGGACATAATTATGCCATCTGGGGATATTTGGAAGTAGACTCTATATCAGATATCATTTATTGTGTCAATGTTAAATTCCTTAAATGTGAAATATTTTAGTTATTCTTAAGAAACATAATCCTGAAATATTTAGGGGTGAAGTATCATGATGTTTGCTAATTACTTTCAAATTACTATGATTTGGGGAGGGGAGGGGAGGGGAAATATGTATGTACAACCAAACACCTCGTGGGATTTGGTTCCTTAGTTTGGAGGTTTAGGGTCATGGTTTCATAGGACATCCCAGTTAATTGGCCTGATAATGTGTTTAGTGCTTCTGTTCTACCTCCCAGTTCACTGCAGAGTGCCTGGGGTCTTAAAAGCTTGCAAGTGGCCATTCAAGGTACAACAACTGATCTCTCTTTGCCTGGAGCAACAGAAGAAGAAGGAGAGTCAGGAATAGGAGGAGAATATGGAATATGTGGCTAATTGCTTTCATGAACAACTGCCTCCTTTGCCATGAGACCAGAAGACCTGGATGGTGCCTAGCTACCATTACTGTACATTTTGATCAAAGATTTTATAGAAGAATCCTGATCAAAAAGGGTAAAATGCACAACAGAATTTCCAATTTTCATAGAATCGAGGTTTTCTGGAGCCATGGAGGCTGGATGAACCCCTGAAACTACTGCCCTGAGATAATCCTTAAGCCTTAAACCAAAAATATCCCCTGAAGTCTTCTTAAAATCAAAGAGTAGTTTAATTTAACTAGTAAAGAATGTCTACGCTGAGCCTTATGCTCTTTTAAGAACTATCTATATGGGATCAAATTGACAACAGCAACTCAAAAGATTAGATTGGAACCTTTGGGGACAGTGAGTTTATGTTAACAGGGGAGGAACAACTCAAAAAGGGAGGGTGAGAATGGTTGTACAACACAAAGAACATAATCAATGTCACTGAAACTATTAAATTGATGTTATGTTCTGCTGTGCATATTCTCAACAATACACATATTATATATATACATATATGTACCCATGTATATATATAAAGCAATATAATACAAAACTGGCAAAATGTTAACCAGTGAATAGAGATGAAGGATATTCATTATATTATTCTATCAACTGTTCTGTAGGTTTGACGTTTTTCAGAATAAAAGTTGAGGAAGTATTAAATGGGAAACAAGATTTAGTTAGTTATTACACTAAAACTAACACTGGCTAATATTAGCTAAAAAGCATGCAGACTTGCTGAAGTGACTTAAAAAAAACAATGAAATCATGTCATATTTTAAGAGCAATCACATGGGACTTGATTAATAATCTCTTCTGTGATTTAGAAAAACAGGACCCCTACCAAACTCAAGAGGGCCTGAGATCATGCATAAATTTTAAATACAGTAATCGTATAAGAAGAAAATCTTTCTATTAGTAAACATGATATATTCCTTTGCTCTCTAGGTATTTCACTAAATGTGTACACATCTACTGATGAAAAAAAATAGAATTGCTTATTCAGTAATGACACCTTTTGGCATAAGTAAGTAGTGGTAAAAGAAAAATCACTAACCCATGAATCATGGTCAAAGCACAGTGAAATTCAGCTTAATTTACACTTTCTAGTTTGTCCTGATTTGTCACGTGCAAGTGTCCACTCACCCACACTGTGACACTAAAGTGCTATGACGGAGCATACCGTCTATAATCTTCTCTGCTCTCCTCACATCTATGTCTTATTTAAGGAGTGCTTTGCAGATACAAAACTAAGTATTACATTAAAGGAAGTCCTTATCAAATCAGTATAAAAACAGTGTACCTATGATTTGCCACATTAAGTTTATCGGATCATAAACGTCACTGCGTGTAGTTAGTCTAAGTATTATTTTGCAAAACTTTTGTTTCACATACATATATGAATGTGTGCTCTAGGCTGCTATGTGAAACATTTTTAATTATGGTTTGTGATCAAAAACTTTGAAACACCGCACTATCATATGTTGGATTCATTAATTTCTTTAATTGCTTTTTTCCCCTTTTGAAGAAGCAATAATATTTGTTACAGAAAACCAGAATATAGTAAATTATTCCCTTTCAAAAAATATCACCTATATTCTCACCGAACTACACTGATGTCCTTCCTTTCAATCTCTTTCCAATGAATATATATTTATAATATTGGGATACGGGGTTTGATACATAACTGGATAAACTGTTTTCACTTAACTTCCTATGAAACATCTTCACAAGAATAAGCATTCTTATAACTTTTTTTAATTGGTTGGAATTACATATAATGTATGTCATGGATTGAATTGTGTCCCCCCAAAAAATGTCAACTTGGTTATGCCATGATTCCCAGTATTGTGTGGTTGTCCTCCATTTTGTGATTTTCCTATGTGTTATAAATCATAATCTCCGTCTATGGTTAAAGAGGATTAGGGTGGGATGTAACACCCGTGCTCAGGTCACATCCCTGACCCAATATAAAGTGAGCTTCCCTGGGGTGTGGCCTGCACCACCTTCTATCTTACAAGAGATAAAAGGAAAGGGAAGGAAGCAGAGAATAAGGGCCTCATATCACCAAGGAAGGAGTGCCGAGAGCAGAGCGTGTCTTTTGGGCCTGGGGTCCCTGTGCCTGAGAAGCTCCTTGACCAGGGGAAGACTGAAGACAAGGACCTTCCTCCAGAGCTGACAGAGACAGAAAGCCTTCCCCTGGAGCTGAGACCCTGAATTTGGACTTGCAGCCTACTAGACTGTGAGAGAATAAATTTCTCTTCGTTGAAGCTATCCACTTGTGGTATTTCTGTTACAGCAGCACTAGATGACTAAGACACAAGATAAACCATTACTTAGCTATTCATTTACAATTTTTCATTATTAAAAATGATGCCATCTCTGTAAGATGCATTACTTTTTAAGGAGAAAATAAACTTAAAAAAAATAATACTGTGATGGACTCTCTTACAGCTTTGTGTCCAATTTAGATTAATTCCGGAAAATAATTCCTAAGAGGAGAATTAGTGGATCAAAAGAATAAGTACTTTTAGGGTAATAACCGTAGTGGAGATTGTGAGTGGTTGATTCCCCAACATGCACTGCATCCCTATACCACTGTGCACAGTAATATGGAATGCAAAACTGGTCCCAAATCCACAGATGGCTCCTTATTAGCCTAAACCAGAGGTCAACAAACTGTTTCTATGAAGGCTTAGGTGGTAAATATTTTTGGCTTCATAGGCCATAAAGTCTCGGTCACCACTGTAGTACAAAACTCTGTACTCAACTCCGCAGCACTCAACTCTGCCACTGTAGTACAAAAACAGCCACAGACAATAAGTAAACAAATAGATGTGACTATGTTCCAATAAAACTTTATTTAGACAAACAGGCAGCAGGCAAGATTTGGCCCTCAGGCCAAATACGCTGATCTAAATCCAATCATGGCAATCCCATCCTCTATAATAGAGGGTGGTTTTGGAACCCAGGTTTAAGCCAATTGGTGTAGATATTTCTTCGGCAACAATCACTGATTCAGGGACAGGGCCAAACATATTGAAGTAAAGATTTCTTGTCAAGTGATTTGGAAGGAGGTATTATCTGTGCCACCAGATACGATTAAGGAAGCAAGTACTACAGTTACTGCTGACAGTCATCCTACTACAAGGGAAACCAGATTTAGGACAAAGCCAGCACTGTGGACTGTAGAGCAGAGATGGAAAAAACCTAGGCACTTAATTATACAGTTGTATCACTGGATCACTAGGAGTCAGAATCGACTCTATGGCAAGGGTTTGGTTTTGGTATCACTGAATCAACCAACCCTGAAGTCTGAAGTGACCCAATACATTTTCTTATTATTTAAGTCAGCTTAAATTGACTTTTCTGTTACTTGTAATCAAAACCATCCTGATACTTGAATTACGAACATCCAACTTACATACAACCATAGTTAGGAGCCAACCCCTGTAAAGCCTATTATATTAAAAATTCGAGGTACGTACAGTGGTTTGTAATAACAAACAAGTGCTACTTTGCGAAGTACATCAAAACATTATTATTTTAAAAATGTTTTACAATATCGGAAAATGTTTTCTTAATGTTTTTTATGCATATACTAAAGACAAACATTTGACTGATGTTAGATATGAACTGTACCTAACTGCTCTGATTTACATACAAATCTGACTTAGAGACAGACTTAGGAATGGAACCCATTCATAACCTGGGGATCACCTGTACTGTCAAACTGCCCCCAGCACAACTGCACAAATATACACAAGAACATGTTCCTCAGCTCACCACAATCTGATAGGCAAAAAAGTTAATTTACACTTTATCATTAGTTTCAATTTTACATAATATTTAAGAAATGTCAATATAGTTAAATACTCCATCCTTCCTTTCATCTCTTCAAATCTTACCTTTTTCTCAAGAAGAATCAGTTTAAATAGGATTAAGACCTGCAAAAAGAAAAGTTTTATTAAAATAAGGATTTCAACTCTATTATTCATTTGCCTTTTCCCCTCCTCAAACATAACCACATACTGTTTAATTAATATTACTAATTATACTGCTTTGAAAAATACAAACTTACTTACACTGAGAAATTAAATATTACTTGAGTCCCCCAAAAAGAAAACTGAGAAGTACTTAAATCGCTTCTTGAAATCGCATTTTTTTGGAAGGAGTGGTGCCATTTTTGCTTGAAATACTTGTAAGCACCTTATAAGGCAGGGACTAAACTCTTTTATTTCTGGATGTCCAGGCGTTCACATCCCAGGTATTCAGCAAATGTCTGTTATATCAATGATCAATGTGTGTATGTCCTAGACAACATAAGCACTTCTAAGAAAGATCAGAAAGCACAAGTATAGACATTTTACTGGAAAATGTTCTACTCTCAGGGAAAAACATAAAATATCCTACAAGATTAAAACATGTTTCTATCCACTCTAATCTCATGATACCTGGAATTATGAAGACAATAGAAAAAAAATACCCTATCCTGCAAGAAATAAACAGATCGTATTTGTATACTTTTAGAAAGTACATAAGCACTACCAACGGCACTTTCAACTTTGTATAGTTATAAGACTGAGTGCAGTTTCAGAAGAACTCAAACATAGTTATGTCACTATCTGTATTCAACCACACAGCACATGGACTTTGCCCAGTTAAATGAACACAGTAAGAACAGCACGTACCACTTCAGTCCATCAGAAATCAAATAAGATATCCTACCTTATGTCGAAAATGAAGGACAAGATCTCGAGGAGATAGACCTATAATATTAACAAAAAAGCTAATCTGTAAATACAATCTACTGTTTTTGTCAAAGAATTTCTTTTTTTCTTCAAAGGAAAGGAAGTTAAAAAAAGAAAGTAGGAATATACAAATATTCATTTGATACTTGATTAAATACACATATCCTCAGAATTTACAGTTAATATTAACAGTTGACACAGCACTGTCCAATGGAACTTTCTGTGATGATGAAAATGTTCTCTATTTGTGCTGTTTAAAAGTACATGTGGCTATTGAGTACCTGAAATGTGGCAAGTTCTACTGATAAACTGAATTTTAGATTTTATTTAATTTTTACTAATTTTAATTCAAATGTCAATGGTCATACATGGCTAGTGGCTACTACTTGGATGCTGCAAGTCTAACAACCTCCCCTCATTCTATAAACATCTTACAAATTACAGAAGTTTAGAAATGACAGAACTTATATATATTGGTAGTCAGTCATTTAAATCTGGGTTTTTGGTCACTGCACGCTACATGCTATCATTTCTTAATCACGTTTTTTCTGATAATCTGCCTCAAACACCACAGGACAAAAGACAATGGTTTAGAGAAAAATGTATTCTCAGAATAGGAATTTTGAAATTAGCTTACATTACACACAGGACTGCAATAGTGAACTACCACAATTTGGCCACTTCATGTTGAAATAGGAATGACTGAGCATAAATCACTACGTGATTAAAAAAAAATTTTTTTTTTAAATCATGAAATGGATATTTGCTGAGTATTCATTGAGTACCTAGGACACCAATGGATATTCTAGGTTGGCAAGGGGGTATAAATAAAAACAAAATTCCCAACCTGAAGCATCTTAGAATAGAAACGAGGTGAGCAGATTTCTGTTTTTTTGCTCTACCTCTCTGCTATGACAGGGAATTTAACTGACCTGCATTAATGTAAGGAAAGAAAAAACTTCCATTACTACTCTGAAAGTAGAAATTCACTTTGTACGGTAATAGCTACAAAACTGCTACAAATATAGTACAAGTATGCTATAATCCATCCCAACATAAACACTAGCTAAGAAGATACTTAAGGAAAAGTCTTCCTTAACTTGGCTCTATTATGGTGTAAAATGTAGGTTTTAAAGGTAACAGCAGCATCAAACGTTGAAGAATTTAGGTCCCATATACAGATGTCATTCTGATCATGCAATTCAGTTTGCCAAACAAAAAGAAATGAGGGTGTCTCTTCTGACTGGTTAAAAAAAAAAAAAATTACTTACCAAGGTACACTTGGGATCCTTCTAATGAAGTTCCTCCCAATGAGCTATTCATATGTTCGTAAAGCTCCTATAAAATGTAGATTCAGTTTGGAACATTTATATCACTTGAGACAACGATTAGAAGTATAATGACCAAAAAAAAAAACTAGTTCCTTAAGTCGGGCAATTTGTTTTGCTAGGCCCTAAATTTAGAAACAATCAAGGTCTCTCTGTACCCACGACTGCTTCCAGCACTCATTCCTTCTCTTCCAGACATGAGTCACATCAGAAGAGGTCTGGGTAGAACGCGTGGAAGTCTCCCCAGAGTATCCCTTCTATCCCTCTACATTTTAGAACTTGATTCATTCAGGTGGTGATATGGAATTCTAGGAGGTTCATCTGGTTTTACCATGGAAGCTGGGATCTAGAAGCCTGCTATACAAATATACCGAGCAATTTATTAATAAGAAAAACAAATTTATAGAAGCAATGCCATAGGGAAGGGGATGTTATCCATTAAGAGGAATATTTACGCTATAGTCACTTTTAGTCATTATTTCCTAGTAAAAAACAAGTTTTACATTATAATTGTCGTTTTAATCCTCATAACAAAGCAGAATGTCTTTCCTAAGCTAATCAATGATTATCCTTCACAATATTACTATCTACTTGTTTCCTGAATCTGTCTTCAGGCAAACACATCTACCAAAGAGACAAAAAGTTACCTTTAGAATGGAAATTTGGGAAAAATCCTTTTCTTCAAAATACGCATGTGTAATGAGCTGAAGTTTTGCTTGAAGTAATCCATAGAGAGGCTTGAAGAAAAACAAAAATTACCATTAGGTTGATAATAGTAAAATACACACACACACACCCTTTTTAATTTGAAGAAGGAGAAAACCTTAATTTAATTGTCACATTCAGCGCTTTATTTATTTCCGCAGCTAAAAGCCAGGAAGTCACCTGTTCTAGCGCTTCAGCAGCAGGTGAAAAGTGCCTGAACAACTGTCACACAAGAGTGGTTAAGAGTGTGGGCTCAGACTTCCTGGGTCTGACTCCATTATTCACTGCATAACTCTGAACACTTAACCTCCCTCCCCATGTTTTCTGATCTGAAAATAGATGTATTAGAAGTATATCTTATGTGGTTACTTTAAGGATTAAATAACACAGGTAAAAGCACTTACTAGAGTATCTGGCACATAGAAAGCACTCAAGTATTAGCTATTATTCATGTAAGATTTAAACCATATTCTAATTCTACAAACTGTTCTGCTATCTTGTGGCAACATTTCATCATCCATAACAGCAGCCCATTCTTCCACCTAGATGAATATTCATGATTAAATTTAAGTTCACTCCCCTTTGTGTCTCTTGTGGAGGCGTATAACAACTAGTCTGTATCTTCTATGATCATAATATTCTTTTGTATACTTGAACAAAGTTATTAATTAACTCTTCTTTTTCCCTAAATTTTATTTATTTTGTTGTTGTTGAGAAATATACACAGCAAAATATATACCAACTCTACAGTTTCTACATGTACAATTTGGTGACATTAATTACGTTCTTTTGAGTTGTGCAACCATTCTCACCCTCTTCCCTGAGTTGCTCCTCCCCTATTAACACAAACTCAGTGCCCCTTAAGGTTCCTATCTAATCTTTAGAGTTGCTGCTGTCAATTTGATCTCATAGAGATAGTTCTTAAAAGAGCATAAGGCTCAAGGCAAATCTTATTGACTAGTTAAGCTAAACTATTGCTTGGTTTTAAGATGACTTAAGATGACTTCAGGGAATATTTTTGGTTTAAGGTTTAAAGATTATCTCAGGGCAACAGTTTCGGGGTTCATCCAGCCTTCATGGCTCCAGAAAATCTAGAGTCCATGAGAATTTGAAATTCTGATCTACATTTTCTCCCTTTTGATCACGATTCTTCTATAGAATTCTTTTTTTATTTCTTTTTATTGTACTTTAGATGAAAGTTTACAGAGCAAACTAGTTTCTCATTAAACAATTAATACATATACTGTTTTGTGTTATTGGCTGCCAACCCCATGACATGTCAACACTCTCCCCTTCTCAACCTTGGGTTCCCTATTACCAGCTTTCCTGTCCCTTCCTGCCTTCTAGTCCTTGTCCCTGGGCTGTTGAGCCCCATTAGCCTCATTTTGTTTTACGGGCCTGTCTAATCTTTGGCTGAAGGGTAAACCTCAAGAGTGACTTCATTACTGAGCTATAAGGGTGTCTGGGGATCATACTATCTGGGTTTCTCCAGTTTCTGTCAGACCAGTAAGTCTGGTCTTTGTGTGTGTGTGAGTTATAATTTTGTTCCACATTTTTCTCCATGGGTTCTCTGTGTCCATTCACTCAGTTTTTGTGTCCCTTCCTGCCTTCTCATCTTTGCTTTTGGGCTTGTGTTGCTCATTTGGTCTCATATATTTGATTGAATCAAGAAGCATGTTCCTCACGTGTGTTTCTGTTTGTTTTACAGGACTGTTTAATCTGGACTCAGTCTGGTGGAGGCTGTGGTAGCTGTGGTCCATTAGTCCTTTGGGGATTCTTCTATAGAATATCTGATCAAAAAGTTCATTAATGGTAGCCAGGAATCATCCAGTTCTTGTGGTCTCATGGCAAATGGGACAGGTGTTCAAGGAGGCAATTAGCCACACATTCCATTTTCTGCTCCTATTCCTGACTCTCTTTCCTCTGCTACTCCAAGGGGATAGAGACCAATTGTTGTGCCCTGGATGGCTGCTTGCAAGCTTTTAAGACAGCACGCACTACGCAACTAACTAGGAGGTAGAACAGAAGCACTAAACATGTTATCAGGCCAATTAACTGGGATGTCCCATGAAATCATGACCCTAAAGCTCCAAACCAAGGAACCAAGTCCCATGAGATGCTTGGTTGTACATAAGCAGGCTCAGCAGCTACTCTTTTTTTTGTTGTTGTAAATATATCTATCACCAACTTTTGCCAATTCAACTTTTTACAGGTGTACAACTTATTGACAGCAATTACAATAATCAGCTGTTATTCCTTAGTTCTTATTTCTCCTATTTCAGACCCTCTTTTACCAATCAATTTTCCATCCCTTTATTTTTAATGTTCTTTTCTAGACGATTTCTCATTTCTGTATTCTTTTTAGGATGCAGAAACCAATACTCTATATATACTCAGTTAAAACAAGTAATACTGGAGTAGTTTTTCCCCCAATCTCCCTCTTAATACATCATTATTACAATCTAAGTATAAAATCCTAGTAGATGGCATAAATACAATACAAACCATAACTAACAATGCAAAAACACCAGAAGAGAAACTAAGTAACTGGGAGCTCCTAAAAATTAAACACTTACACTCATCAGAAGACTTCACCAAAAGAGTAAAAAGAGGACCTACAGACTAGGAAAAAATCTTCGGCTACGACATATCCGACAAGGGTCTAATCTCTAAAATCTACAGATTTTTTTGCTCTACCTCTCTGCTATGACAGGGAATTTAACTGACCTGCATTAATGTAAGGAAAGAAAAAACTTCCATTACTACTCTGAAAGTAGAAATTCACTTTGTACGGTAATAGCTACAAAACTGCTACAAATATAGTACAAGTATGCTATAATCCATCTCAACATAAACACTTCAACAACAAAAAGACAAATAATCCAATTAAAAAAATGGGCAGAGGATATGAACAGACACTTCACCAAAGAAGACATTCAGGCCGCTAACAGACACATGAGGAAATGCTCAAGATCATTAGTTATTAGAGAAATGCAAATCAAAACTACAATGAGATACCACCATCTCACCCTGACATTACTGGCACTAATCAGAAAATAACAAATGTTGGAGAGGTTGCAGGAGATTGGAACTTTTATGCACTGCTGATAGGAGTGTAAAATGGTACAAACACTATGGAAAAATGTTATGTCATCTCTTTAAAAAGCTAGAAATAGAAATACCATACCATCCAGCAATCAAACTCACAGAAATGTATCTTAGAGAAATAAGAGCTGTCACGTGAATAGACCTATGCGCACCCATGTTCACTGCAGCATTATTCACAATAGTCAAAAGATGGAAACAACCTAAGTGCCCAGCAACAGATGAATGGATAAATTATGGTACGTACACACAATGGAATACGATGCAACAATACAGAACAATGATGACTCTTCGAAACATCTTACAATGTGCGTGAATCTGGAGGACGTTATGCTAAGTGAAGTAAGTCAATCACAAAAGGACAAATGTTGTGTAAGACCACTATTATAAAAACCCAAGAAAAGGTTTACACACAGAAAAAAAACAATCTTTGATGGTTACAAGGAAGGGGGAAATTACTAACTAGATAGCAGACAAGTGTCAATTTTGGTGAAGGGAAAGACAACACACAATACAGGGGAAGTCAGCACAACTTGACCAAGGCAAAGTCACAGAAGCTTAGTAGACACATCCAAACACCCTGAGGGACTGAACTACTGGGAATGAGGGCTGGGGACCATGGTCTCAGTGGATTATCTAGGTCAGTTGGCATAACATAGCTCATAAAGAAAATGCGCTACATCCTACTTTGGTGAATAGCATCTGAGGTCTTAAAGGCTTGTGAGTGGCCATCTAAGATATTGGTCCCATCCTGTCTGGAGCAAAAGAGAATGAAGAAAACCAAAGACACAAGAAAGTATTAGTCCAAAGGACTAACGGACCACATGAACCACAGCCTCCATCAGCCTGAGCCCAGAACTAGATGCTGCCTGGCTACCACACCAACGATTCTGACAAGGGATCACAATAGAGGGTGCACGACAGAGTGGGAGAAAAATGTACAACAAAATCCAAATTCACAAAAAAAGACCAGACTTACTGGTCTGACAGAGACTGGAGGAACCCCCGACACTATGGCCCCCAGACACCCTGCTAACTCAGACCTGAATTCATTCCCAAAGTCCACCTTTCAGCCAAAGATTAGACAGGCCTATAAAACAAACAATAACACACGTGAGGCGAGTGCTTCTTGGTTCAATCAAGTATATGAGACAAAATGGGCAACATGTGCCCAAAATCAAAGATGAGAAGGCAGGAAGGGACAGAATAACTGGATGAATGGACACGGGAAACCTAGGGTATAAAGAGAAAGGGGGAGAGTGCTGACACATTGCAGGTATTGCAACCAATGTCACAAAACAATCTGTGTATAAACTTTTGAATGAGAAACTAATTTGCGCTATAAACTTTTACCTACAGCACCATAAAATTAAAAAAAAATTTTAGAAGTCAATTTATATCTCTATACTAACCAAATTTGAACATGAACTTCTATATCATTAAAAATATCTGAGTAATTATGATATGTTGAATTTCAGTAAAATATTTATCTAAAGTCTAGGTTAAAAAACCAAAAATAGATAAATGAAGTATCATAAACCTTATTTCTGTCAAGGGTCAACCTCCTTCCCAACAACTCATCTCTCCTTCCTCTTACCTAATCTTAGGCCAAAGTGTAAATTAGAGCAAAACTGCTAAAAGGCAAACAGAAAGGAGACACAAAAGCATAAGTAATAAGTCTCTGATTAAATTTTCCTGATTACTTTTAATATTCTATTACTTTCATAAATCTCTTTTTATTCTAATAATGCCTTACCTTCACATAAAAATTTGCCAGTTTTCCTTGAATGTTTAATGAACACATTAATAGGTTAGTTGGTCTCTTACCAGCTTGCTTAGAACACAGACACTTTTCTGAACAGTTTCTCTGGTGACATCTGCTTGTCTTACTTTCAATGCCTATTATAAACAAATAGTCATTATTAGAAATATTTCGCAAAAATACTAAAAGTTCGTATTTTTTCAATATAAACGTAGCAATTAAATAGAAGAAATTTCTTGTATTTAAATTCAAAAGGTATTTGTTTACTGTGTACCTCAGAACATGAAATGAGTAAGTATCAGTCTGGGCACTCTGTGCCAGAATCTGTGCTAGGCACTGGGACTGTAACTGCGAACAGATAATCTCTACTCTCAAGGAATTTACGGTCTGAGGGAGAATACATTTAAGTCATCACATCCAAAATGCAAATCAACTGCTCTTGGTTCTGGTTTTAAGATGAGCAGCCCTCTCAGAGAACACTGTTTCTGATGAGAAGAGGCTAGTTTAAGAGATAACAAAAAACAGATGGCTTGTTTCCCCAGAGATGGAAGGATTGTCAGCAGTTTTGTTAAGTTGGTTGTTCTATGCTGCCTATAAACTATCCTGCAAGACTGGTATTGTAGCTCAGCTCTGAGCACATAACTCACACACCTCGGTGATTCTGAGAACAATCACATGAGATTTCTACGGTTCTTTGCTAGTAGAGAACAAGCCTTGATTTGATCAACCTCAGGGAAAGCTGTGAGGGAAGTAAGAACAACTCCTTCCCTTCTACAGCACTGCCTGAGAAAGTATTAAAAAAAAAAAAAAAAGAGAGAGAGAAAGAGAGATCTGAAGGTGTCCTCCCGTCTTCTGGCTGAGGACTACAATCACCCTCGAAAGTACAAAGACTATGGTATATTATAGTTCCATTTTCCTGACAAAGAAATCCCTATCTAATTTTCTTTCCCCTAGTTTCCAGAATATCTAGTTTCTAGTGGTCAATTCTTTTACTATCTTATCTTTGGAGAAACCAAATCATAGAATTTGTTCCAAAATCTAAGACAACTCAGATTGTTATTCCCATTTTTCCAGTGGCTCAGAAATAAACAAAGAAAAACTTCCAAAGTGCTCTTGCTCCTCTACAGTCCAAAAACCAACCATCCAAACAACTCTCGCACCCACTCCCCAAAAAAAAGTATCAAAAATCAGGGTGCTTTCTGATTTACAGTCAAGGAATAATCCAGAATAGTGTTCCAATATAAAGTATCCCAATTTATTTAAAAAATACTTTCATCTTGTCCTCAGATCTTATGTTAATAAAATAACCCTTTTGGGGGACAAAGATCTTTCTAAGTCTGATGAAGGCTACAGACCTTTTCCACAGGAAAAAAATGAATATACACACTTTCACAAAGGGTTAAAATTGGGGGAAAGGGCATGGATTCCTTGAAGCTTCCCTATGGGTCACAGTTAAGAACTTGTCGCAGCAGCGACCGTTGTCAGGGCGGTGGAGACAATAACCAATGCCACAACTCTTACAGAGAAGTGGGGCCAGGAGGGTCACTCTGAGGAGTCGAACCCAGCTTCAGTCCCAGGAGTTTATTTTATAGTCAATACAGCAAACAGTGAAGCAAATAACAGAACAATGGGCTTTGGGTGAGTAACAGTAAGTTTTGGGCAAGGGAGGAGGAATTCAGGTAAACAAGCCAATCAGTACTGGGTTTGGAAAAACAAGTCGTGACAAGTCTCAACATGTTGGGCACAAGCCTCAACATGTTGTGCAGCATAGAGGCCTTTATACATCCATATTTTAATGGCACATATCCCCACATAGCCCCCCTTTTGTTTAGTTAATAGAATAAGAATCAAGAGGATTTTCACTGGTCCAACAAATGCCCGTTAGGATAAAGTAAAATTTTTTCTAAGAGATAAAGTCCAAGATTATCTCAGCTACTGTCTCCACACCTCAGGGCCTGGCGTCTTAGTGAGTCTTTGTGAGCCCAGCTACAGCTGGGGCACACTCCATATGTTTAAGGAGGAGAAGTAGCATAGCTATGAGTAACACCTGGACTTAGTCGCTCCTAGATGGTGGCCATTGCAGGCTCTTTAAACTCACGGTGCTGGTTTTCCACCAGATACCATCTGGTTCTTCACCAGGTTATTACTTAATGCCTGGGCTTAGTGCTCTTAGATGGCGGCCATTGTAGGCTCTTTAAACTCACGGTGCTGGTTTTCCACCGGATACCATCTGGTTCTTTACCAGGTTACTAAGCAAGAGCAATGCTCTTATCAATTGCATAGCCGGAGTGAGCGGACTCAATGTGCGTTTCAGGTGTGTAAGACAATAAAGGATGATCTTATGAGGATAATATAATCCTCTCCACTAGTAATATCCTGATTGTTGGACCCATGAGATTCCTCTGACTCTCATTTTGTCAGGTAAACACTAACTTTTAACATCCACTGAAATTATTATTCTTAAAGGCTTAAAGATTTATAAAGGCTCAAGTATTCATTAACAATCAAACAAGCAATGATTTACAGAGCTTCACTATTACTTGGAAGGGAATCACTAGGAAGGGCAATTTATACATCATAACAAATGTTCATTAGGAAATTAATTACACATCATAACAAATTTAACAATCAAACAAACACTGATTTACACAAATTCACTATCAATTGGAAAGGAATCATCTAACTTAGAAATCTATCTATACAGAAGCATCTAATCTAGAAGCAGCAGAAAATATAGAGGAAATTACACATAACAAATTTTCATTGGGAACTTACTGATTAACAAATTACTGATTAACAAGATAATATAGAATGACTATTGAGAACAGATTGTCACGAGGGAAACCATAGCTAGAAACAGGTTTTCAGGTGTAAGTGGGGCACCTGTAGTTGAGAGGATATGCTCAGCTTTGGAGGAGAGGGCTTTCAGACCTCCCCATGTTACCGGTATTGCAGATCTCTGTTGTTCAGTGTCCATCCCCAGGGGAAGGGGTGATTTCGGGTCAGATGGCGGCACTTCAGCGTTCATCCCCAGGGGAAGGGGTGCTGGTGTCAGTTGTGGCTCTGGAGTCGAGTCGAATGGATGCCGCCGAAGGTGTGGTGACGGCGGTTCAGAGAAGGGAAGGGGCGGAGATGCAGGGCAGAGTGTGCCGGCGCGTGGAGGAGCTGCAGCGCGGGGCGTGTCCGGGACTCCTAGTTGTGGCCGGAGCGCAGAGCCCACTCTCGCCTGCCCAGAGCCTCCAGACAGGGCCGTCCCGGGCGGCGGCAACCCGGGACTGGGCTCGGAGTGCCGCGGGAGGGATGGCGCGCGGGCCGCGCCGCAGTCGGAGCGGGTATCCAAAGTGGACCTGTAGGAGACAAAACAGCCGCATACCCTCGCCCCCAGGTTAGTAATTCTACAGGTCCTTGCCAGACAGAGAGATTTTGAAGATCTTTATAGAGGACCTGTGGGTGAGGTCGGGTGTCAGAGGGGATAAAATGTCGTTCTGCAGCAGTACGATCATCTTTGGAAACTGATCAAAAATTAAAAGTAAAGAAAGCTTTGGCAAGTCTTTCATTTTGGTCACATACTCTAGACCTATCATCTCCCCCCTTTTGTTTATTTAAGAGCTGTTTGAGAGTATGATGGGCACGTTCAATTATGGCTTGCCCTTGAGAGTTATAAGGAATGCCAGTGTATGAAGAATATTCCAAGTGGCACAAAATTGCTGAAATTTAGCAGAAGTATATGCAGGCCCATTATCAGTTTTAAGGGCTTGGGGACATCCCATAGTTGCAATGGCTTGGGTGAAATGACGACAGGCATGAGCAGAACGTTCTCCAGAAAGGGCTGTAGCATAGAGAAACCCAGAACATATTAGCCCAATGAAAGCCTTTACCACAGCGGGGACACTGCCTTTAAGAGAGCTAAAACAGCCCGACAGTCAGATTAAGATTAGCATTTTCACAAGCAAGCTGGAGACAAAGAACTTCAGCTGCTTGTTGATTGTCTACCTGTTGGGAAATGGCAGATTCAATTAAAAGCAGAAGTTGGGTAAGGGCTTCTTCTGATACCTTAAGCTTAGAGGCCTTTAACAATCCCAACAACTGGGTTTTGTGTTGACACTGCTCAGGAGAAAGAGAATTCCCAGTAGCGAGGAGGAATAGGAAAATGAAGGAAAGAATAATAGGAAAGCCCCTGGCCTGAAGCCTGAAATCCCTTGGGAGCGGTCAGGAAAGACCTGCCGCTCTGGGGCTAAAGCAGCCTGATCTGAGAGCGTTCGGGAAAATTCCGCCCGCAGAAGAACCCCGCTGCTCTCGGGCTGTGCCTTTAAACAGCCTGAAACGGACGTCCGATACTCACCACCTAAAGGGATTGAGTGCGAGGGCGCCTATGCAGCTATACGGCGGTCTGTCCTCAAACGGGGCGCCATCTACCGCAGCCCCTCACACGGGGAACAATCTATCGCAGCCCCTCACACGGGGCACCATCTGTCACAGCGGCGACGGTTGTTGGGGCGGCGGAGACAATAACCAGTGCCAGAACTCTTACAGAGAAGTGGGGCCAGGAGGGTCACTCTGAGGAGTCGAACCCAGCTTCAGTCCCAGGAGTTTATTTTATAGTCAGTACAGCAAACAGTGAAGCAAATAACAGAACAATGGGCTTTGGGTGAATAACAATAAGTTTCGGGCAAGGGAGGAGGAATTCAGGTGAACAAGCCAATCAGAAATGGGTTTGGAAAAACAAGTCGTGACAAGTCTCAACATGTTGGGGACAAGTCTCAACATGTTGTGCAGCATAGAGGCCTTTATACATCCATATTTTAATGGCACATATCCCCACAAGAACTCACCTCTCTATTGCTACCTATCCCAAACTTAAGAGCTGACATCTCCTTTGGATCTGTCCTAAGGACCAACGGGCCTCAGTGTCTTCAACTGATTGATGACCGATGAGTGGTCATTAAATTAAGTCAAGAGTAGAGCTTTTCCTTCAATTTATTTTCTATCCTTCTAAACTGACTGGATTCATCCAATAGGTCCTACTTTCATTCAAAAGGAATTAAAGTCTTTTTCCTAGGCTCTAGATCCCTCTGATACCTGGTTTATCTACCTGGTTCTCAGGCGAAGCCAGAAAAATTTAGAGAAATGGGTAACCCTAATATGTTCTGGAGTGGGTCAGGCCCAGGAGGTGGGAGAGACAGGCAGTATTAAATGCCATTTAAAAGCTCTGCAGAGCATGAGAATAGTTGTCAATTATAACAGCTGGGAGGGGTAAGACATAAAAAGAAGAGATTTCCAAGAAAGGGCAGCAGTTCAATTCATCACAGTATTTACGTAAGAGTAACAGTATATGAAGAAATCACATGTGGAAGGCTAACAAGCTAGCTCTTATGCTCAGGTTTCTTTCATACTCAACTTTAGATTCAGTTATTCATTCCAGAGACATTTACTAAGTGCATCCTATGTTCCAGGCCCTGTGCTTAGTAGTTAACTACTATAGGTATGCTGGAATTTACACTTGCACTTTACTTTCAAATGATTCAGGGGGAAAAAAAAACCACACACACACACAAAGCAATTCTGGTATAATGTTAACAACTGTTGAATCTAGTGGTGGGTATACAGGTGTTCATTGTAGTATTTTTTTTTTGCTATGGAGTTTTTTTATTTTTTTAATTTTTAAGAATTCAATTGAGCTCTAATGAGTATGCATGACAGTGGACACAGTTACAGATGAGCAATACTTATGGAAAAATTCAATCTGCTGATATTTAAATACATAAAATCCATCAGTAAATGAGGTTTTCTAATCTTTACACACAATCATAAAAGCCTATGAGCTACTGGAATTTAATCCTCCCATATTAAGGCTAGGAAACGCACTCGCGTCCCTTTTTGTGCGGTACGAATAAGCACTCGGTTACTGTGACCCAAGAGTGCACATGGTAAAGGAATAAAATGAGTTTCATCAGCCCTCTACTAAGCGCTTTAGACAACAGGCACGTTTTATTGTTTGCTTGTTTGCTTCCATGTGTTGCAGTGAAGTAGTCACACTCAGTCTAGGACTCTGTGCTAGCGTAGCCCTGAGGCTGACTCTGGTAGGAAAGGGTTCACCCAACGTTTCGTTTCCATTTTTCCTTCTCAAATTGGCCCAGTAATTAACTCTGCTAACTGCTGAGTGTCTTCCAGTGTGGAACTGTATCTATGAGTATTTCTAGGTGGCATAAACCATGTTACAAATTCTGTTGCTGAGGCAAATCACGTCAATTTTTTTTTTTTAGTGCCAACTGTATTTGGAACACTTGTTAGTTCTGGTGATGAACATTTTGGTGGTGGCAAAATGGTTTCTGCTATGGAAGATAAACTTACAAACTTTTCCCCTGGAGGTTGACTGCATTCAAAAACCAATGTATTTTAAAACTGCTCAAATAAACAAAAATAACGAGAAATAAAAAATCATAGTGAAAAACGTTCTTGGTTCTTTTGACTTTCATGAGAAAAGATGACAATGCTGTATAATAGTTCAGTTCCATGGGTTGACAGGCAGGCTATTCTAGGGGTTTCTGAAGCAATGGTGGGTTTCTTCTGTCCCAGCAGCATGAAAGACGACTCCGTCACGCACACTCAGCAGACACAGCAGACAGTGTTCACAGGATTACACAACAGTTACTCTCTCCAGTCTTTTCATGATTCCTCTAACCTTGAGAGTTTGGCTCAGGCAATGTCTCTCTGACCACCAAATGCATCACTGTTGTTTTGCCAAAAGGAAGTTTTAACGCTCCTAATGTGACATTTCCATGTAGAAAGTGTCCTTGATAAATAAGTCGTAGAATATTTAGACTGCTGACTTGTTCTTCTTCCCAGTCCACTGGCCAGTTGTCATACACATGCTTTGCAATGTCTGAAACAATCCTTAGGAGAAAACAGGAATTCTTTTGTTTTCCCGCTTACCCAGATGAGGCGCAAATTTATCATATCCCCGGGACATTACTGGACATCTTGCCGTTTGATAGATACCCAGATGTGTTAGGAAAAAAAGACAACAACAAACAAAAAGAGCAAAAATTTTCACGCTCCAGAAAGAAATCTTCACGATTTGGAGGGGTTCGCGATGTGCTTTCCAAAAACGAAGTTATTCTGGAACCCAAGTGCCGCCTGGCCGAGGTGCAGGCGACAAGAGGAACAGTCCCTGGAGCTGGGTCTGGCCGGCGCAGCGAAGACTCCCAGGACAGAAGCAGCAGCCCGGTCGTCGTCAACAGCAGCAGCCCCAGGACCGGCCGCGCCAGGTGGACCCCGCCGAGTGACACACGGACATGGAGGGGGTGGGAGGGGGTTACATCCGCCTTCCTCCTTTCCCTGCCCGGGCGATGATTCACGGTCGCTCCCGAGTCGAGTCCTCATTAGGCAAGAGGAAAATGCCCGGTGTTTAAGTACACAGATAACTATGTCGCTACACATCGACGCGGGCGGCGCGAGGGGCCGCCGAGGAGCACGCGGAGGGCGCGGGGAAACGGCTCAGGTCGCGCTCCGGGGCCGGACAGCAGAGCCGCGGCGCCGCGCGCTCAAGGACATGGTACTCGTCTGCAGCCGAAGCAGAGCCCCGGGAGAAGCGTGAGGCAAGCTCGGCCGGATGGGAGCAGCCGCCTGGGTTCAGGCTACGGGCGCCTCTAGGCGGCGGCGGCAGCGCCTGCTCCTGTACTATTCCTTTAATTGTATGTTTGAATTTTTCATTATATAAAAAGTTAGAAGAAAATTTAAAAAAGATTTACTAAGATAATTATTCATCTGAGGAAGGTTTTTAAACTTACAGCTGCTAAGGCTGTACTTTCAAAGAATCTAATTCCGTAAGTAGGAGGAGAGGACAGGCATGTAGAGTTTTTCTAAAAGACTCCAGGTAATTCTGGTTAAAAACCACTGTTCTGGAGTAGTGGTTCTCAGTGTTGGCTACATATCAAAATTACCTGGGGAGCTTTGTGCAGCCAAGGCTGAGAATCACTGCTTTAGAGTATCAACATCTTCAGGAGAAGAAATAAATTTTACTCATTAAGATTGTTCCCATCAGAAAAAAAACAGTACTGCTTAAAAGCAAAACATAAAAGATGGGGCTGTCCATCTTATCTTGGTTTAAATAAGTATTATCAAAATTTTATAGATAAGATAATGTGGGTTGTTGGAAGCCACTGTATGTACATTCCACTCCTTTTAAAATGATGTTTTAAAAAAAATACTGCACACAGTTTTTGTTGTTGTGTGCTGTCAAGTCAATGCCAACTCATAACGACCCTACATGACAAGAGTAGAATTGAGAATTGCCCCAACTGGGTTTCCTGGGCTGAAATCTTTACAAGAGCAGATCACCAAGGTCTTCCCCCTCTCGGAGCCACTGGTGGGATTGAACTGCTAACCTTTTGGTTCGCAGCTGAGTGCTTAATCATTGCACCATCAGGGCTCCTCCTCAGTACACATTACCTCTCCATTTTTCTAAGTTATGTAACAAACACTAGAAATTCAAGGAAACCATGAAATCGAAATAAGTATTTTGAAGACAAATGGGTAATTTAACTATCACTATCTAAAAACAATGTGCAAAATGTTACGATACACATATAATCACATTCACCAATGTCAACTTACAAAAACATTTGTGCGAATAATTTGTTAATTTTGGAAAAACAGCTACAAATTACTTACAACAACTTACAACAGTATCACAGGCACCACACGAAAAATAAAGACTGTTTCCCCAATTTTATATTTTAAGTGGCCAACACCTAAGAGAGGATTTTTGTTTGTTTTTAGTTTTGAATTCACCATAACCATCATACCTTGGCTTCAATTTGTCGGTAACAAGAGATACCATACACTGTGGCTCCATTTCCATTTCTGGGCGGCAAGTGAAAATACACAGTATCTAAGAGATACATAGAAAAACGTAACTACTGAGGTAAATTACCCTTAATAATAATGAAATCAGAAGTTATAATTTAGTCATTAAGACAAAAATGATGATGTAACAGAAAAATATACTTATTTCCAGCATCACAATTACTAGTTTCTTAGAATTCCTTACAATGTACACTTCCCACAAAAAACCCAAGAGGCTGAATTATAACAGCTTAAACTGAGATTATAATCACTTATCACAGAAAGTACCTTATCTATGGGAGATTGTTCTAGATTTAAAAAAAAACTAGAGAGTCATAAAAACCAAAGGCAACACATGAACCTTAAATGGATCCGAGAAATTCTTGGGAAAGCTAGGGAAAATTGAACATTGATTGGATATTAGATGGCTTTATGGAATTACTGTTAAATCTCTTAGCTGTGATAATGGTACTGGAAGTTTCCCTGGAGAGTGACCTTACTCTTAGGAGATGGCATGCTTAAGTATTTAGAGGTGAAGTGTCATGATGTTTGCAAATGATTTTCAATAGTTCAGAAAAAACTACACACACACAGAGATAAAGAAACCAAATTTGTATAATATTCACTGTACTATTTTAACTTTTCTGTATGTTTCAAAGTTTTTATAATAAAAAATTGGGAAAAGGGCTCTGTGAGGGTAAAAATATTGTATTTAAATTTTATGTTAAACTGCATGGCAAGATTTAATTCATAGGAACATTATTAAGTATTAGAAAAACAGGTATCAAATCAAGTTTAACCTGTAACTTTGGTATAGCCTCTAATACCATGGTAAAATACAGTCCTTCATTAAGTCAGGCAAATTACTCATTTATAAGTGACAGGAGACTAAGTATTAACTTCACAGCACTACTCCCTTTGAGGGTGTTAACATGCTCTGCAAGCAGGCAGGCAAACCTTCAGGCAGAGCATTACGAGAGCAATGGCCTCAGGGGTGGAGAAACAATCCCAGCTGTTTCCAGGTGGCATCTGAGTATTAACTAACCTAGTTAAGATTCCAGCTAGAGCCCGAACCAATCCGCAGCTGGTGCAGGCAGGCCCTTCAGATCACTTCTGAGGAGTCAAAGTATAAATGCAGGTATTGCTGCCCATATGTAGCACATATCCTGATCTGGCTAATCACTTACTTTACCTAGGGCTCCTGGCAGAAGGCTAGGCAAGGTTCACCAGCCATTGCCAATATAAGCCTGGCACCCCTCTGGAAGTCCTCGAAAGCATGACCAGTCACCTCTAAACAAGTCTTTAAATATTTAATAAATTGTCACAATAAGCCAAAAGCCTTTCATTCACTCAAATACTTTCAATCTAAGATGTCTTGGCAAATTTAAAAAACAAACGGTACCTACTAATTGCTCCACTGTCTCTTTACATACCTTCTTGGTAGTTGTGTGCACCATCTGGTAAGGCAAGGAATGGCAAATACTTCCATTCTTCAGGTAAAGTGTGGCTGTCATGTCCATCTCCTGGAATCAGGGGCGGATAAGAGAATTCAACCTAAAATGGTAAGAAATGTTAGCCAAAAGATTATTGATCAAAGGGAGCACTGAGAATGATTTTAATCTCTTAATGACAAAAGTGGGGATAAGCTACACTTGTTGATGCCATTAGATATTACCAGCAAACCTAAGGCATTGAAGACAAAAAAGATAAAAGCAGTAAATGAAGGAAAGATTTAAAGTCTTTCCTCCTTTCTGATTTAAGGTTTGTTAAACTTTAGTGTGCCTAAGACGAGAGGGGTAGGGGCATTGGTGATCGTGGTGGTGTCTGGATTGGAAATTTAGATTTGGGATGATAACTGAAGCCATGGAGCCCTGAGAAAAACCAATATATATACTACTGAATGAGTAGGAGAGGTCTAACAAAGCGGCCTGAGAAGTTAAATCAAGATGAAGGTTTGCTCCCCATCACTTGGCACCCTTGCTCCCAATACTTGTAGCTTTGAGTTCAGGGTTTTGATGGAGTTCTGCTAGGGGGAAGCAGGGGAGGACTGGCCAACACTTAGGTGATTCTGAGTATGAGAACTGACCACAGAACTTTCAATGAAGTCTCTCTAACATTCTGTCTTGTGGAAGTAACATTTTTAGCATGCATCCCCAGTTTCTAGCATTCCCTGCATTTATTAGCTTTTTCTGTTTCCATTTCTTTTTGTTATTTTAATGAGACTTTTGGAGATGAAGGCAGAATAGATAGGGTTTAGGTTACTATCTTGACTCATAAATTTGAGATGTCTTATGCTTTGTTTTTCTTTCAAAGTGTATCTAAACAGGAATTTACATTTACATTAGTAACATACACACTAAAATTGGAACAACATAAGAATCACATTTACATCTCATCTGTAATGTACAAAGATGTGATGATGGCTCATCTGCTCACATTTCAATGGAATCAAGCTGCCACTTGAGTCACAAGGGTCTTTTTAAGGGGAGACAGAAGAGTTAGCGATAGAGATCTGATGCTATGGGGAAATTATTAAATGACTCAGGAAGCATCAAAAGAAGACGGAAGGGATACACAGAGTTACTGTTCCAAAAAGAACTGGTCAACGTTCAACCATTTCTAGAGGTACCATATGAGCAGGAACCAATGGCACTGAATGAAGAAGTCCAAGCTACACTGAAGGCACTGGCGAAAAACAGGGCTCCAGGAACTGACAGAATACTAATTCAGATGTTTCAACAAATGGATGCAGCACTGGAAATACTTACTTGTCTATGCCAAGAAATCTGGAAGACAGCTACCTGGCCTACTGACTAGAAGAGATCTATAGTTACGTCTATTCCCAAGAAAGGTGATCCCACCGAATGTGGAAATTATTGAACAATATCATTAATATCACACGCAAGTAAAATTTTGCTGAAGATCATTCAAAAGCAGCTGCAGAAGTATATCGACAGGAAACTGCCAGAAATTCAAGCCAGATTCAGAGGAGGACATGAAACCAGGGATATCATAGCTGATGTCAGATGGATCCTGGCTGAAAGCAGAGACTACCAGAAAGATGTTTACCTGTGTTTTATTGACCATGCAAAGGTATTCGACTGTGTGGGATCATAACAAATTATGGATAACTCTGCGAAGAATGGGAATTCCAGAACACTTAATTGTGTTCATGAAGAACCTGTATACAGATCAAGAGGCAGTCATTCGAACAGAACAAAGGGATACTGCGTGGTTTAAAGTCAGGAAAGGTGTGCGTCAGGGTTGTATCCTGTCACCATACCTATTCAGTCTGTATGCTGAGCAAATAATCCGAGAAGCTGGACTATATGTAGAAGAACGGGGCATCAGGATCAGAGAAAGACTCATTAACAACTTGAGTTATGCAGATGATACAACCTTGCTTGCTGAAAGTGAAGAGAACTTGAAGTACTTACTGATGAAAATCAAAGACTACAGCCTTCAGTATGGATTACACCTCAACATAAAGACAACAAGTCCTCACAACTGGACTAATAAGCAATATCATGATAAGCAGGGAAAAGACTGAAGTTGTTAAGGATTTCATTTTACTTGGATCCACAATCAACATCCATGGAAGCAGCAGTCAAGAAATCAAAAGATGCACTGCATGGGGCAAATCTGCTGCAAAAGACCTCTTTAAAGTGTTGAAAAGCAAAGATGTCACCTTGAAGACTAAGGTGCACCCTACCCAAGCCATGGTGTGTTCAATTGCCTTCTATGCATGTGAAAGCTAGATGATGAGTAAGGAACACTGAAGAAGAAATGACACCTTTGAATTGTAGTGTTGGAGAATGTTGACTATACCATGGACTGCCAAAAGAACGAACAAGTCTGTCTTGGTAAAGTACAACCAGAATGCTCCTTAGAAGCAAGGATGGCGAGACTACATCTCACACACTTTGGACATGTTGTCAGGGGTGATCAGTCCCTGGAGAAGGGCATCATGGTTGGTAGGGGGTCAGCGAAAAAGAGGAAGAACCTCAATGAGATGGACTGACACAGTAGTTGCAACAATGGGCTCAAACATAGCAATGAGTGTGAGGATGGCACAGGATGGGGCAGTGTTTCGTTCTGTTGTACACAGGGTCACTATGAGTTGGAACCAACTCGATGGCACCTAACAACAATGCTTGCAATGCTACACTGCTGGCTTTGAAGGTGGAGGAAGGAGTCGTGAGCCAGAAAAGTGCAGGTGGTCTCTAGAAGTTGGAAAAGTAAAGAAAATGGATTTTCTCCTACAGCCTCCAGAAGGAATGCAATCCTGCTCCAGAACTCTGAAATAATAAATCTGCATTGTTTTAAGCCACCAAGTTTGTGGAAATTTGCTACAGTAGCGGTAGAAAACTCATATTGCTAAATTTAACAAGCAAGCAGAATATCAGTAGATATAGTATAATCCTATTTATACTGTAATTCCATTTATGTAAAAAATTTATTAACCTATATATGTATATACACACATGTAAAATACGCATACATGTACGTGCTCGTAAATGGATTTTAAAAACACACTTGAAAAGATAAACCATACTGTTAGCAGAGGTTTTATTTCTGGAGAGAAGAACAGGCTGGGGATTAGAGATAAAGGGAACAATTCCAGCAAACTTTTTTACCCCCAACTTTTTGTTTTGAGAGGAGCCCTGGCTGCGCAGTGGTTAAAGCGCTCGGCTGCTAATTGAAAAGTCAGCGGTTAGAACCCCACCAGCTGCTCCGCATGAGAAAGATGTGGCAGTCTCCTCACAAAATTAACTGGATTCCATTCACTTTGTTCTCAGAACAAAAGACTGCAGGGGAAGAGGAGGTTACAAGGAAACAAAAACAAAAACCCAAAACAAATAATATATGAGTGTGAACTCTGTGTGCTTCAGAAGTACCCTTTGTTCACTTTTTAATAATGCAACATCCATTCTACTGTCAGAGAACCATGTAACAGAAGAGAACCCACACTGCCAAACTACAAGCACACAAAGTAAACACACCCATGGACCCCACAGGAAACCCTGGGGGCGTAGGGGTTAAGAGCTACGGTTGGCAGTTTGAATCCACCAGGTGCTCCTTGGAAACTCTATGGGGCAGTCCTACCCTGTCCTATAGGGTCACTATGAGTCGGAACCGACTCAACGACAACGAGTTTGGTTTTGGAAACCCTGGTGATGTAGTGGTTAAGTGCTATGGCTGCTAACCAAAAGGTCAGCAATTCGAATCCACCAGGCACTCCTTGGAAACTCTATGCGGCAGTTCTACTCTGTCCTACAGGGTCGCTGTGAGTTGGAATCGACTCAGTGGCAGTGGTTTGGTTTGGGGTTTATGGACCCCACAGACATGGTACAACATAACTTACTGCGGGGAGGACAGTGCTTCCCAGGAAATTCTGGGCCAGCTGCTCTGCCTCTTTGCTCCCTATCTGGGCATCGCATGATGGATTTTTTCCCCTTCACGCAGCAGCACAGAGTACTTGTTTTCGTAAGTCGCAACGTTTCAGCACCAAAGTCAAGGCTCTGTCATATTTTCCCTTAAAAAACAAAACAACAACAAAAACAAACCAACCCCTGGACCTAGGTGACTTATGTTTTCCCTCAGTTATGCTTCCCTCCTAAATCTCCTGGAGAGTCAATACTACACCACCACTCTGTTATATTAAAAAACCCAAACCCATTGCCATCGAGTCAATTCCGATTCATAGCGATCCTACAAGACAGAGTAGAACTGCCCCACAGACTTTCCAAGCAGAGCCTTGTGGATTCGAACTGCCGACTTTTTGGTTAGCAGCCGTAGCACTCAATCACTATGCCACCAGGGTTTCCATTATATAGCAGCAGCAAATGACCATATTTGTTGCCTATTTATTTTTGAAACTGCTTGTGCTTAATTAACATTTCTGTACCTCAGCATCGTTATTTTACAGTTTTACTGCACACTAGATGCCACAGAAATAAAATGTATACAGTACTGTAAAACGGTACTATTGAGATTTACCAAAAACAAGTTTGTTTCTTTAAGTTAAATGGAAACATATATTTTAAAAAATTTGCTTTTATATATGTAAATGAATAAAAGGCTGTTCTGTTTTTTTCTAGAATTAAAGAGATATTTTACTATTCCTTTTTTTTTTTGGCAAAATGAGGTGCCTGGATTATGAACAAGACGACAGATGATGTGCATTTTGTTTAATTTAAATGAAGAAATTTACTCTTTTTATAGTGTTAAAATATATATCACAACAATTTTGCTGTTTCAACCAGTTTTAAAGTGTACAGTTCAGTGACGTTAATCACATTTAACATGTATGCCACCATCATCACTATCCATTTCCAGTCACCACTATCCATTTCCAAAAAAATTTTTATCACCCAAAATAGAAATCCAGTACCCCTTAAGTAATAACTCCCCATTTCCTGCTCCCCCATGCCTGGTAATCACTGATAAGCTTCTGTCTATGCATTTCTTGTTCCAGTATTTGTAAACCATACAGTATTTGTTCTTTTGACTTTTAAATCTGACTCAAGAAAAATTTACTTTTTATATAGTTG